ATAGTGAATATCGCGATTTTCGAAAGCTTGTTATTCGAAGGGTATTCATGTAAACGTCTTCAAACTTTGTATAGCAGTGATTTGGTTCATTTCTTGATTTGGTTCATTTCTTAATTTGGGCACTTTTTAACACTTGTCCCAGTCCACTCATCAACTTCGGAATGGCTATAATGGGACTCATGGTGGTTTATGTGCAAGACTCTTCCCTTGACAAGTAAAATTATCTGGCATTAGACAGAGTATAATAATAAGTCTGCTGCATATTGGGTACATTGCAGCTTAATGGGTTAAGGGGTACCTACATTTGAATAAAGTGAGGATTTATGGTAATTATACAAGAGTATAAAAAGAAAGTAATAAAATTGGTTTGCAAGAGAAGGGAGCATACTGCTAGTGTTCTAGATGTAAACATGCTTCAAAATGTACAATTATGTCATTATTAATTATTTCCATATTTCGTACATTTCTCAGTCTGGATATATTTTGCAATTCCCTCAAATGTAACTTCTTCAAGAACTTGCTCGTGCTCAGGCTCCTGCTCTGTGTCACCAGGTTTACTTATTCCCAGTCTTGCAAGAAGTCCTTGAAGAAAGCTTGGAAGATCTGGATAGACAACAGCATAAATTACAAATTTACCAATTTCTGAGTTTTTTTTGTATCAGCACTTAGGGGTGGGTGGGTGGGTGTGTGTGGGGGGGTGGATATTAAAGGTAATGGCCCTTTGCTGTAATGCCAATACAATTGACCCTCTCTAATATGACAGGAAACAGAAAATTAAGTGGTTGTATTAATGAGTGCATGGGTGAAAATCCTGGAGGGGGATGGGGGATGCGCCCCTCACTTTTGGGACATTCATAATATAATTAATTCATACTGGGTCATTCCTGCTGAAAAGATCCACGCCCCCATGGAGAAAAATTTCTATTGCCCATAGGGGGAGGGGAGAAAAATGTATTTCTGGTAAGTGTATTAAGACATCTAAAGGGGGTAGGGGGCTTAACATCCAATTTCCTCTGTGGGGGAGTACGATGTTTCTGGCCAGCTCCAACCTCCCAACCCCACTTTTTGCAATAGATTTTCACTCTTGCTATAATGAGAGATTTGACTGTAATTGGTTTATCATCATGTACCATCACTTGAACTTTTTTCATCCGACTCCCCAGTGGCACCAGCTGTGCTATCCTCTGCACTTCCTTCATCTAAATAATTCCAAACAACACTTTGATTATTTCTTGCTCATAGATACAGTCCTCGCAATTTTGATAAATATTCGGCGGCAGAAAATTGCCGCTGATATTTCGAAGTTCGGCGGCAGTTCGGGAGCAATTTTTTGTCATATTTAGTATTAGTATTATTTTATATTTAGTATTCTCTTGATTCTACCAATTAAAAGTGTTTGATATTCAAGGAAACCTTGTTTCACACTGTTAGTTTTAACTTTGTTACACTACGGACGTTGTTCTAAGATTGTATGTATGTTTGAACTTAAAGTTTATACAAGAAGTATATCATAACTTTAGATGTATTTTAAAATAAGTCACAAAACTAAAAGTGTTTACAAAACACTTGCCTTTTGCCGCCGAAAATTGCAAGGACTATAGATATTTTGTCCAGCATCATAGCTGTCATTGGCAGGGGGGTTGAGTCCCTTAAAGATAGGGTACAGTCCGGTCTGCGCTATCCTATAGGCCTGCCACGCAGGCTAGGTCTGCGCATGCGCACATAGGAGTCTCCTGCCGTGATATAAACACTTTATAATTAGGTTTTTATTTAACTTTATATTCTTGCAAAGCCTGATTGTTGTATCTTGATCATTTATTATACTGTAGAAGCATGAAAATATAAATAGTTGTCAAATTAAAGTTCAATATTTTGAATTCTGAAATGTAAAGGCTTTGTTTACATACAGATTGCATGTACCCAGCTACCTTTAAATAATTTTGAATCGGTTGCTGCATGTACTTGGTATTACAATACCGACAAGATGGTTGTCTACAACATCTACAGCTTCTTGCTTATTATAAATAGCAAGGCTTCACAAAACAGGAAGCCTTAAGTGTGTGGGAGGTACATTTATGATTTATCACTTTCAATTTCCTCTCGTTAAAATAATTCTGTGTATTGCAGAAAATGCCAAATGAAAATATGACTTTATCCAAAATGTGTATTACATGTAATGCAAACAGGCATTTGGTATATTATCAATTCACTGCAATGGCAGAATATGACATCATACTTTATATATTAGTAATATTAATATTTGCTATATATAATTATATTAATTCTAAAAACTGATGTATTTAAAAACACTACATATTATCTATATTCTGATATACATACTCTTATTTTCTTCTGAAGACATTGTGGCCCAAAGTTAAAAGAATAACGTCTAAAAAGATTTAATTCATATTTTATGGACAAAGAAATTAAAAATCATGAAACGTCAAAATGAAATAAAAAATATTTAAAACATACAGCCTGCAAACCCGGGGAGAACCCTAAAACCAGGCAAAGGTTCTCAGGCGAAGCACTGAAGCGAGGCAGTTTTTACAACATTCCGATTGTGAGAATCTAAAAGTTTATATGTGAAAAAATTGTTTTGAGTTTTCATTTATAACTTCTGAAACAGCCAAAAAGGGGAATTTGCGACGTGAGTATGTTTCGATTGTTAATATTCCATATTTATTGTGTGTATAAATTAATATTTCTGCTTCAAAATAGGCAGAAATTCTTGGTAAAAATTTGTTACATTTTGATTCGAGAATGGAATGTGTTTATATTTCGATAACGTTCGCATCGTAGTCTTCAATGTACTCTTACTGTCGAAGTCTAGATTACTAAATTTAAGTTATGTTGTGTTGTGCTAGAAAAAGACCCTGCAAACCTTTTATTTTTTAACTAAATATTTAAAACAAAATTAATCATCTTTTGCCCACAACGCAATATAAAAGTCATTTGTTTATCTTTTTATACCAACACTAATTTTTTCTTATGATTGTTAGGGTCCTTATGGCTGGTTCAACGCGTTGGTTGGAATATTTTATTAGTTTGGAAGGTCTCATTAAGATCTTAGAATTTGTAAGTCTGCTTGTGATGTTTTACATGATGATAGATGCTGCCATTGGTATTGTAATGATAGCTTCTTTGTATAAAAATTCAGCTAGCAAAGTACTTTGTTCAGTACCTAATTTCTGAAATCATTTGTTGTATTTATACACATAGATGGATCTTACACACACGTGTTCATCTGAGTAGATGGCATACATAATTGTGTGGTTCATTTCGACAGGTGATCCGCCTGTTACACACACAAACTACCCTACAAACTACGTTTCTTTACCAAAGTTCCTTCAGTTCAGACAGATCGTCCGCCTCTAGTTTAAATTGGGCTGTGATGAAATTTTAAAATTTTACATTTGTATGTATTTCTAGATCGTGTCCATCCTGGCATTTGTTTTGATTCTGAATTTTGACGATTGGAGCTTATTTTCACGATATGGTTTCTACATAATTGTGTCAGGTCTATGTTGGTGCTCATTGCTGATTATCTTGATACTTCATGCTGTTGGTTTGTGTGCTGGCAAGGTGTATGGAAACTGGCAGAGAGAATACTCCTTGTTTGTGTTCATGCTCAGCTATTCCCTCTCATTCATGTTTCTCTTCTTCTTTGGATCAGCACTCTTGGCTCAATGGGCATATGATTTGGCTGATGGCTTCCTCATTCTCTGTGTGGTAAGTAATTTAGTAATATACCCAACCTAAATTACTTTACCCAACCTACATTACTTGAAATGATTTACTCAAGAAGATTATAATCAGATTTAGTCTGTAGTCGCCCCTGAACATCGACCAGTCTAAGAAATTAATTGGGTCATTCCAGAAAACATCCATACCTCCCCCACAGAGGAAATTGAAAGTTAACCCGCTTACTCCCTTTGGACGTCCTAATACACTTACTATTATCAGAAACAAATTTTTCTTTCCTCCATGGGTGAAGTGCAGATCTTTTCCGGAACGACCTATTAGTGATTTACGCAGTGAATAATGAGTAGCTCATTGGGATATTAATTTAACTCATACCAAAATATCAGTCACAAAAACTAGGATATATAGTCAAGCTGACTGCTGACATTCTTTTTTCAAACATTATATTCCCTGAATTGTGTTGCTAATTAGCACTATTATCAACCAATTACATTTCAGATTCTTGGTTTCGTGTTGGTCATATTATTTTTCATCGACAGTTTCATCTACTACAAGCGAGTGCGACAGATCCGCATTGAGGAAGTCACCTGGAAACCTAAGCGCACTGGCACCTCTTACGCTTAATAGACATCAACTTTTTGTTTGCTGTATATCTTTAAGTTTACCAGACTACTGTAGTTCATATTAATGCACTGGACATCCTCTACATTAATGTTTATCAGACTAGTATATATATAGTTAGATTTCTCCCTGGATGTAATAAATTTATTGTAACAATATTGTATACATGTTTACTTTCCTGGCAACTTGTCTTAAGGAAGTTTATTACTTAAGATAGTCTCAAATCCTACACATTCATCAACTCTTAATCCATGTACAAAACTTGTACGTGTACTGTTGTATATTTGCAATACAATGCAATACATAGGACATTGTTCTAGCCTTATATTCTTTAAAAAGTTCTGTCTACTGTCATCTATCATTTGTTCATCTGTATTAGAAATAAAATGTGATTGAACTTAAACTTAAATTGACTTTAAAGTGTGAATGTGAAACTTTATTTACTGTGACAACCTGGTGTTCAGGAAACTACAAAATTGAATCAAAATGTTTGATGTGATTCTTGACAACTACAGTACACATAGGATTGATAAAGGTTGTTAAAGTTGTTATCTCTATTGTAGTAAATACTTTTTGAATAGTTTGTAATTTTAATTGTATATTTCTTGCATATAGTTGCAGTGTGTAATGGCTAATTGAGCTACTTTCATTTTAATAAATAATCCAAAAAATATCTAGTGTGTTTTTATTGATATCAGAAACAACTTCACTAAAATCCATGTTCTTTCAACAATCTTACAACAGCTTCTTTATGATAACCTTTTATCTTTACTTGACTTGTTATTTCATTTGTTTGAAAATGAACTTCCTCTCCTAAATTTTCTTTTAAAAATCTCACAAGTTCCTAGAAAGCAAAGAAAGTTTATTTCATAGAATGCATGGTGTGGAGCTTGGTTATCTTCCAAAAGTTAAACTGAAATGCACTCTAATGTGTCTTACTTTACAACATTATTCATCAAAAAGGTGTTGTTGACAGGTGAGTTAGATTGTAATCAGAAGGCTTGATGAATATGTAGTGTGGTGCAGATATTTCTCTTGTGTTACACCAGATAGACAAAGATATGATGGCAGTAGACAACACTAGATTTTAACCCACAGTAGCAGACTTGTTCTGCAGTGAGAGGGTGGATAGCAAAAAATCTGAGATTACAAAATAACTAGGATGAAAACTGTCTTTTCTCTTCAAGAAAAAAAATTGTCTGTTCTGAGATGGGGTAAGAGGGGATGAAATTTATTCACTGACAGCCCTTTTAATAATCACACTTACATTCAAATCTCCCTTGATATTTCTGATCACTGTAAGAACTAAACTTCCTCCACGCTTCTTATCAACATAAACTGGCAGATTGTTTGTTCTTGATCTTTTTATTTCAAATGGCAACGATGGTGGAGGGTCTATGATAAAAATAATTTAAATCAAGTAATCTATACTTTGGGACTTTAATATTAATGGCCTTACATTGCAATTAATATAATTAATTATAATATAGCATTTGTAAATTCTGAACGCTGATTGGCTAAGAGTCGTGTTGATATAACTTGATGTCAACACGGAAACGTCCGAAAATTTCTTTCTTTATGTTTCTTTGTGCTATATTATAAAACAAATTTAAAACAATTTTTTTGATATATAGTTATATCAACACTCGTGGAAATTGGGAAAACTCGAAATTTTTTGTGTTTCCACACAATTTCTCGTTTTCCCAATTTCCACTTGTGTTGATATATATAACTGTATATCAACACGGAAAATATTTTATATTTGTTAATTAGTTAATATAATATAGTTAATATATAATAGTTAATATATAATAGAAGAACTATAATTAGTTAATATATAATAGTTAATTAGTTAATATATAATAGAAGAACCATAATACAAGAACTATAAAATCATAGTTTTTTCTACACACTCAGAGGAGGCACCCATCCACTTGGAGATTTTGCTATTTCCTCCAATCTTTCTGACCTTACTTCATATGAGAACGCCACAGCACACACACGTGTTTTCAAACCAGGCTAAAAAATGTTTAAACCTCATTAAAACATCAAAAGTACACAAACAAAAAGACGAAAATGTATATTTAAACAAAAACAATAGCACTAAAACCTTATTACTTACTTTGTATGCTTTCAAACAATGTAAAATTGGCGTATTTTGACTAAAAAGATTGAAATATCTGGAAAACGGTGTCATTCGTGCAGCCATATTGGCTGGGAATAAAATAGTTTGTCTTACATGAAGAACAACACCAGAAAATTTTCCACTGCTCGCGGGTTCAAATATGGCTTCCAAAAAGATAGTATAAATTATCAGATTAAAAACACCATAAAATGCATCTAAAATGTTCAGGTATATCTTGATTTTAACAAAAGAAGGCAGAACGCGCTTCTCGAAGTATTATGTTGATATTGAAAGAGAGGATAGGGTTTTAACTGAAGCAGAAATCGGACGGAAATGTCTGCAACGCAGAGCAGATCAGGTTGAATATTTTGAAGTATTAACCCTAATAGTAATGCGACCAACTTTGTTATTTCGCCAGACTATTTTACTCGTCAAGCGAGTTTGCGTTGCTGCTGTAAATGTGTCCTTCGTCGCAAATATGTGAAAGCATTGAGTGACTGGATATCATTGATATGGAGAGCAGAATGAACCGTGCGACTTTCAAAATCATTAATTAAAAGACAATGGAACATCCACCAGGCTATTGCCTATTATTGTACGCTACGTTTATGCAAAGGCATGATTTACTTGGTTAGCACTTTTTTCCATCCAGCAAACCGCCCCCTATCGATTTTCTAAAGTCGTTTTTTTTTATTTTTTTTTATTAATTCGGTTAGGGTTAGGAGTAGGGTTTGGGTTAGTTACATAGCCATTTAACACCTCTTCTATCTTCCAAAAATGACGTCAGGTCAGTTTGCTGGATGGAAAATAGTGCTAACCGATTTGGTTATCGAGAAGAACAATTACGGAGTGTATTATTATTGTGTTAATAATACGTTGCGCATTGTTCTAAAATTTGATTGTCTGTTTCAGTGTACGTTCATGGAATACAAGGATCATAAAATAGTTTACAGAAGATATGCTTCGTTGTATTTTGTCGCGGGAGTCGATGTTGACGAGGTAATCAATATTCCTGCATGCGCACCTTATTCTGTGGCGTAGTACCTTACATAAATTTTAGGTCAATACATATTTACGAACGAAAAAGAAATAGTAAAAAAAATTCTATTGCTTTTAGAATGAACTGGCTGTATCAGAATTTATCCAAAATATCGTAGAAACTCTCAATAGTTATTTTAAAAATGTTGTAAGTACGTTATAATGCAAATTATAATTTCAATTCATGGAAATTAATTTGTTTTGTTCCTCTATTTCTTTTAGACTGAAATGCACGTATCCTTTTTTGAAAATTTGTTCACTTTTTAAAACCAAAAGTGAGAAAAGAAATTAATCATCCATCAAGACGCATTTTTTGCATAGTTCGTCTTATCGTCTACTTGATAGTTTGGATTACAATAAAAATCAGGCCAATCACTCTGTATTAATACTTCATCTTATTTTTCTACTTCACATTTTCCTTGACCTTACCATCTCAGATAATGTGTAATCTAGATAAAGTTCACATGATTCTGGATGAAATGATTATGAACGGGGATATTATTGAACCAAGAAAGAAAAATGTCCTAGCAATGATGAGAGTTGTTGATGGAAAAACCTGAATAGTTCGAACTCAATGTCATCAAAATTGTGTACATAGCTAGTAATGAATAAATAATATGTAATATATATCGAAAACGAGAAAGCGTTTTTCGCAGTTCTAACAAAAAATAACACCTCAAATTCAAGTCCTTCGGGGGCCATTGTGATCACTGTGATGTTACGTCGTCGCGGATTGGCTGTGTTAAAGTATGTCGTCGCTGATTGGCTACAAAAAGTGATGTCTGCGTCCTATGGCCTTTGACCTTCCACAGAAGCTGTTATATTTGCAAAAACTGCGAGTCTGAGACGTTGAACTCCGTAGAACTGTAATGCATAGGCATATAGCCGTACATACTGAATTGCCTTGATGTCGCAGCAGGCGCGCTATAATCAAGTTAAACCAATGTCTGTGACCAACTCCGAGTGGTTGAACTTTGAGAGGACAACCTATAGGAGACATCTCCAATCACCTGCGGATATACGCCGTCTAATCTCTGACATCTCTGAGCTAGCACATCGCGGTGTGATATCAAATGCGTCGTGATTAGTTGACAAATACACATCTTATTAGCATAAAGCGCGCGCACTAATTAACATGCGGCATCTTGCATTGTCTCTCGAGGGGGTAATCTAAGCTATAAAGACGGTCTTCAAAATGATGTCTGTGGGACTGCTAAATAAACGTTGTCTCAGTTTGGGGTTAAGATTTTGAAAATTAATTAATTGTCTAATACAGTAATCCCTCTTTAAAACAGTGTCAAATAAATGAGATTAGTAGTGTTTAGATAATCACATGTCTGCATCTATTCTCGAGTTGGCAAATTGTAGCACAAGATTTTTACTCCTTGCTCTTGGCTAATGTTTAAGACTATTTATTATTAATTAAGCATAAATTTGTACTCATCAGTGCCCAACCTTTAGAAAACGATGTGGAGACTTGAGATTTGATTTGATTTACTCAAGAATACCAATATACTAGAAATAAGCAAGAACAATGCAAGAAAAGTCTTGTGGACATTATATATTTCACTCCCTTCCAGTTATGTATTTCTCCTGCACGTATTATGTATTACGTATTATGTACTAGTTATGTATTTCACCAGAGAATCGACATGAAATGTGCTTGCCAGAACATCTCCTGGAGAAAATCAAAGAAAATTTGATTGAAAATCTGTTGGAAACCTCATCATAAACCTATCGCTGCCAGGCCAAGGTTAATCACCGTACAAGGGGCTGTTCACATGGAGCCGGGTTGGCCCGGCTCATCAAAGCTCTTATCATGACTTTAGTATAATTAGTAAACACTAAAAAAAAGTTGAATTGGCGCCGTTTGATTCCAGTAACAGTATAAAGTAGTACGTCAATCAAACTTTGAATGAACTTTTTCAAACGATCATTTATGATCAAGAAAAATATTTCGTGGCACGATTAATCTGGGCTGGCGGGCTCATATGAACATCCCCTAAAACACTTTATGAGTTCATTTTTTCTCTCTCATTTTCTATTCAACTCATTAAAAGCACATGAGTGAAACACAAAGGATATTAGCACGGTATCATTATCTTGATACCACGGTAATAAACTAACTAGGCGTTGAATGTCTTTTTAATGGATACTGGTTTGTGTGAGAAGTTACACCATGTAAAACATTCTGTCTGAATCATAATCCTTCCCTTATTATCCCCATCATTTAACCATTCCCTCAGACATTGACGTCATTAAGGTGCACTAGACGTCCGTCATGCTTTATTGTACACGATCGTTTCAGAGTTTAAACTCTATTTCCTGAACTGCCTCAGGTATTGATTCACTGAAACGTCCTTGACTGAACGAAATGTTATGGATTAAAATAGAAGTATATTCTTGTGCAACGTAACTAACAAACTTAATTAAAGCGTATTAAATTGACTTTTAAAAAACACCGCGCGTTTACTGATAATTTGGCAAAGTGTTGAACCCCTAAACCCGGATCACAATTAATACAAATGATATGCACGGTTGTTGCCAAATAAGACAGGGTTTAAAAAAATCAAATATAACTTTTCATGAGCCGAACTTAATGAGCTAAAGTCAATATTAATGCTCATTAACAGTGCCACGACATATGAAAAGTTGGACGTTTCAAATGGCACAATTTGACACTCGCAGTACAACCCTGGCTTGGAAGGTGAAAATGATTCACAATCTACAAAACTATTCTCTATGCTGAGCATTGAAGCGCAGTTTTAAGCAAAAAAGAAACAACCCTCAAAATGCGGCAACACTGCACGTGTCCGGAACAAATGCACTTAGGGCGTTTAAAATTTGTGGTTTTTCTAAATCAATACCAAACGCCTACGTATTCGGCAACTTATGGTTTGATATATTTTTATCTTAAATGGATTACAAACAAAACACGCGGTAGTCTAAGCATAGTTATAACTGCGCGCGGATATTTGCTAAGTAATGTCTGTGATTTCATTTTAATGACTTTAATTTAGAAAATAGGTGAATAGAATGTAACAGTTTGGTGCCAATTAATTTGATGTTGTGATTTGCGCCTTGAATTAAGATATACAATAGTATGGTGAGCGGTAAAGGTCACTTTACATGCAATATCGTATGATGCTTTAGATTTGCACTTTTTCCGCCAGTCACGCCCGATATTTCTGTGGCCATCACAAGCAAGCTGGGAGTGACGACAACATAAATGCATATGTGGGGCAAATTTGACTGAATCTTGTAGTCGTCTCCTACTGATTGATAAGCTGCCGCATTCGTCGCGAGTTTCAGTTGGGTTTTTCCAAGCCAGTTTTCCGCTTCAAACGTGTCGTACCGAAACGTAGCATATTTCTTTGTTTCCTGAGCTAAATATAGAGTTGAACTAATGACTTCCCCACAAACAAAAACGCTACAGTATGTTCTAGATAAGCAGTATTTTGTGTATAAAAGATTGCATGCATGTGGGTTTTGTGGCTATATGGCCTGGTTATTGCCTACAGGCGCTCTACCACTGCCACTGCGACAGTGGAAATGAGTGTGCGTGCGTGTGTCTGCGGCTGAGCTCCACTTGAGTTCGAGTAAACCACGACTAGGCTGGCTTCTCTAAGCCCGATGGGATGGATTTGCCCGCCCCGTGTTGTCCACGGGAACTTACACAATGCACACATTAAAATGTCATAACTTTAATTGCTAAGAAATTACAACTTGCAGAATGTGATCATGAAACAAAATGAAGCCTATTGTTGTGACTGGATAACGTCTTCCGAGTGAACACATGGCGGTAGAAAAAAAGTAAAAAATACAGCTTTGATTGTTTATAAACATTTCACGCAGTGACTCGTCGATAATTCGACATATACTCGACATTACAAACGTTTGATAAAATTAAATTGTTGTTTGTAAATACCAGGAAACAATTTTTATCTCTGGCGTCGAAACTTTAAGTTGAAACTGAAAAAATAGCGCGGTATTTACAAATCGCTGTAATATATGACCGTACTAATCTCTTAATTCATCTTCAAACTGACATACAGCAACCTTAGTAAGGCGCAGGAACTCCAAAACTTTGAAAATGTTAAGTTTTTAAGTTTTTTAAAGTTTGTTTTAATCAATCCAGTTTGTAAATGGAGGATACTCCTTCGTATAAACGGCGGTTTGAAGCCCTTTTAGTTTTAGTTATAAATTTTCTCGTGAAAACAACCCTAATTCATAGAAAGCATTAATCATTATATACCGATTATTAAATTGTTGACTGATGCCTCAAGTAACTTGGCGGCGTTAATATTTTTCCAAATCACTTTGGGAAAGTTGATTCAATGATGCGATAAACAAACATTCAGTCATGATTAAAAATATCGCATGAAACATTGCGCACATCTTTTATACTGGACTTGCGCGATTTATGCAAATGAAGCAGTTTCGCTTCAATAATTGTCCCCATTTCTGATGTTGACCACTTCAGTAGCATTGCATTTGACTGAGAGCAGTTTAAAGTATTCATCGGTGCATTCAATGCTCGGCAAGAAGGATAGTGCATTCACATTAATAGCGTTGGCGTACTGACAAATAATGCCCACGTATTTGGTATCACTCCTTAGAAAATTATTAAAAGCTTCTTGTTAATGTCAGAACAATCCGAATCGTTTAAATACCAGCACTTTGACCATCAGATAAAGAAGGAAGTAATTTTCTAGAATAAATTTTATCATCACTATATATACTCTGCTTCGTTTTGAAACAGTCATATCCAACTTATTTTTTAACAAATGAATAAAACAGCATTAGGAATGAGAGAAACCAAAATGAGACCATGTAATAAGCAGCGTTCTAGTTATAGATGAGAATAATTCATCAAATCGTAGCGTCTAGACTCTAGTTCAATGCCATTGTAGGATGAACCAACAAACGCCCACGACTATAGAATTCAAGTCGTTCAAAGAATTTATAAAAGTGAACTTAGAAAAAACAGAGAGCAATTAAACCGCCCGCCATGCCGCGAGGTTTTAAAGCAAACATGAGTATAAAAATCGTGTAAGCTTAATAACCATTTATAAATGCATAGCTATATACTCAAAAAGGCTTTCAGAGAATTACAAAGCTAAATGTTCCCACGGATAAAATATTAAAAATTCTTTAGACTCATCAAAACAAACAAATCATTAATGTTTTTTACTCCAGGCTTATATAGTTTTATCTTGTTTTTATTGAAACATGGTTGTTTTAAGAAGCTCGGCGGATATGCCATATGATCCTCCATTTTAAGAAAAACCATTGGTGCGTGACTGATCAACCACTAATTCGAATTTACTGCGTCCCGTTTTGCGGTTTTCTTAAGCTGCGCAATGCGCCAATAGATTTAATAAGAAATAAAAACTATTTATGTATTTGTTTATATTTTATGACTTACACTTGAAAGTCAATCAACAATACTGTCTGGTTTTAAAATGAGATAAAGTGATAAACAAGATTTTGGGAATCACTCGAGTACCTTTGAAATCTGAGACATTTGGTCAATTTTGGGTTGGACTTCTTGTTTTTTTGCACAGTTTGTTATTGGGGTTAGATGCCAGGAAACATACGCCGTGTAAAGGTAGCGCTCCAGAAATGGGTGCGTTTTCTTTACTCATAATGACGGGCCAAAAAATTGTCAAAAATACCAGCGAAGAAACAATGAAGTATAATCCCAGGAAATTTATGCAACGCACGGAATTTTCTGCATTATGCTGTCAGATTTAAAATTTATAAGACCTAGCTCTTACCGTGAGAATATAGGCTGGGAAAATTGATTGGAGTCATATCGTGTGCTTTCCTGACGGTGCTGTTTTATCTCATAGTGTTGGACAATATCTAATCATTAAGCGGTTTGTTCTGTTCGATCAGCACAATCTCTCACACGAAGCCCACCTGCGGTCCACTCTTTAACAACCCTTCCTGATTCGCATTTAACGCAATTTATTCCGGGGTGTACAAGTAAACATTGTACGCGCTCCTATAAATACGACATATATTGCGCCAAGTCAGTAAATCGTCTGAAACGCAAGCACGATAACATCACGGGAATACTGCAGAGTGACAGTCCATCACAGACAACGTGGAACATTATTTACTAGCAAGAAGAAAATGAATTTGATCATTTTGACGCTCACATTTTATCTGCAACTCTTAATAACGTAAGTAGGTAGGAATAATTAAAATGCATGTCACGCCATGATAGTTTGTCAATATTATTAAACGTTTTCTAAGTACAAGACAAACATATCTATTTGTACGACCATGAGTGTGGATCTAGTTTGGCAAAATCAACAATTTTTTTATTTTTGGTAAAATCACCAAATGCACGTAAAAACCAAAAAACTTCTGTTAGACTTTACTCTGTTTGACTACGCGATTTTTAAACAGTTAACGTGTATAAATTGTCGTTGAAATGGAAATGTGTTTGTCCTGTATGGTATAACATATATTATAAGGTGTTTACAAAAATCTCAGGTCATGCACTAGCTTTTATTTTTAATTTGGATCCCGAAGATTTGTGGTCCAACGACCAACGTCATTGCTGGAGTAACATTGTTGCTTCTGTTCAAAACCTTACATGTTTGGTAATGTTTGGAAAATGTTGAATCATGTTTGAATTTATTGAAACTTTTCATTCAACATCATCCAACATGTCGAACCAAGGCTAGAGGAGAGATTCAACAACGAAATTCACATGACATTTTTTACACTGATGTGATGACTTTATCATCATGGATTAGTGAAATGCTGAAGACGGCACATTTTATGATTCACCACTCCCTACTAAAACTTTTAACATGTTTCAATGCTTAACATTGTACAAAGATGTACGCTCCCTTTTGATAAAAACGTTTTTGTGTATTTCACTGCAGACTATTGTGACTATATCGCATTCCACTTTTAAATTCCCATGTCATTAGACTTACGTGAATATAGACATATCATTTCATTATATCAATTACAATATTGGCCTAAATGTCCTAAATGACTGACGATCAATTCCCCTACTAGAACCATCGCCTGAATTGCTAGTCTCGTTAATAATCTTATCGATGAGATTAAATGCTTAATTGGTATATTTTTAAATCATTGTAGGAGAGTCTCAACACTGCCTTTGCCTAGGTCGAAAAAAGCTAAGGTAAGCAACCAAGAAGGTAGTTTCCCAGGGAAACGTGCCTAAGCTGTTTGCATGACGAAATTTGAGTAGTGATAACATGTAATGGAGTTCAAGAGATCAAGAGATCTATCGCTTTGATGCGATGACACATTTTACAAAATTTTATGAAATTTGAGAATGCGGATAACAAAATATTGAACTGGTTCAGGTGGGGTTTCAGTGTTTCATATCATATGGTGCTACATGTTAGTGGGCAACTTCAAATCTATTGATATTTATCAGAGCGAGGAAAGAATGTTACGTGTTTCCGCTACATGTACTTGTACAAAACACGAGATCAATACATATAGTAAACAATTTAGTCTCATTGATAACTGTCTTTCCATTTGGAGTTACCCATTATGTGCTGCACTATTTACAGTAAGAGTCTAAGTGGAACCATCTATATATAAGATTTAACTTGCCACAAACCTTTGTGTTCCAACCATACGTTTTCAAACGATGTTTTTATACTGTGAAAAAAAAGAAAGTGCGATTGATTTCTCCTCTTTCGCAATTTTTATGATTTTAGCTTATTTACTAATTTAGCAATATGATTTTGGTTTGACGTTCCTAAATTTAGCTTTGGGAAAACTAGCAGGAAATATAGAACGTTATCCAAAATTTGCAAATAACAGCAATAAACGTTCTTTCATTTAATTTTGTGAATGGAAGCCCAAAAACAACTAAAATGTTTCAGAGATTTGTGGTGGCGATTGCAATTTAGTCAACGTTCAAGTAGTTTTTTTTTCATCTAACCATGTCAGTCACAGACCATTGTGCGTAAGCAATTCTGAATATTCATGAGATATACAAATTGTAAAAGAGTTTTTGACAATTGTACCAAATACAGAAGACAAATATATTGTTGAAATTTGCTCCTACAGTAATGTGTTTTTTTTTCTAATCAATCAAGCAAACAAATTAATAAAACAGGCAATAAAGTGTTTCCCATTCATTTCAATTGAAAATTGACATTTCCCTAATCTTGAATCGAGCCCGGCGCGAGAATTTAATTAACGTCTAGCTCGCAATTGTTGCACACCCGGCCTGCTTGGACCGCGATGACCACACACAGTGCACATAACACCTGCCTTTCATTGCTTTCAAAAGTAAAAAGGAATTAATTTTTTTTTCGATGTTGATGGAAATACTATAAACCACAGTTAATAGACTGTTAACTGTGTATAAACTAACCTAACCGTTAGAAACTAGGAAAGAATGGGAAAGAATGGTTTCCATTTGATAACTGCACGACGTGACCAAATCAATCGTTTATGTAAAGTAGATTACACTGGCCACCTTGACACGACAGTCACTTAGGGACACAGCAAAACAAGTGTGAAAACCTAGATTATTTTGCTCTGGGTACAAGATTATGTGAAAACGGGCTTTCACTGTATTTTCTGTTCGGTTCAATTAAATTCACGCTGCAGATTACAAATCAATGTTCACCTTCTTTGTGCAATACACGCAATATTATTAAATGTTTAACAGTTAATCACTTTCTACATAAGTCCATTTGTACAAATATTTATCGACTTATCATAATATTGACACTTTGCGGGTGAACCATATTAATTTATTTTCCCCTCGGGCAAAAGTAACAATTAGGTGAAACATTGCAACAATTAATCAAGGTTGGCATATTTTCCATTCAGCAGTGTTACAGCAGATTGTCGTGAACTTCAAAGATATTCACACTCATAAAAATAAAATCAAACTAAATCCCTCACTTTCAAATAGAACACTATACTACATTTAATGAAAGTAATGAACACGTTGTTGGTACTTTTTACACATCGCATGATGGTCTTTAGCGAGTCCCACCCATTGATAATCCTAGCTATATGTGTGTTCTTTAATTAACAAAAAAACTTAAAACTCAACGGAAATTCTTTCTTTCTTACACAGACGCTCCCAACGACAAAAGCCAGCTTTCCGAGAATTCCCAGTGGACAAAATGGCATTAACATTTCATATCCGGCGCTTTTGTACATACGCCATACTGGGAAGTTTGTGAAGGTCACCTCAAATGAAATCAACGCATTAACGACGAAAGAAGATAAACATGGTAAATATTCCAACTATTTAATCCTCACATTCTAAGGCGTGGTCTTAAATGCTCTTGACAACATGATTTATAGTTAACAATAGCTCATTGTTTAAGAAGTTGTTTATATTTGAACTTGGTAGATCTCTCAAAACTGTTTTCCCAGAGGAGGTGCAGTTAGCCATGAATCGTGATTAAATTCAGTGTTAGTACAGGAGGAAACCGGAGTATCGCAAGAGAACGGCCGATTTGTAATACACCGTACACAACTTTTGCCTAAAACTTGAGTTGTACTTTGTAAATCAAGCACACAACTCACCTGCGTGTAGTAAGAGGTTGCATTACGACAGTTTTAGACAAAATTTGTGTAAATCGGCCTATAGAGTCAAACTGGACGCACTCTTCTCAATGTGACCTGGCGAGATCATAATCAGATAAGGAACATTTCCACTCAGGAACATTTTCCACAGAAAGAAAATTTTGTACAATGTGATTGGCTGACACAAATTTTCCGTCGGAAAAAAAATTTGTGAACTTTATTAAACAATGATATATTCAGAACATTTTCTGTCCGTGGAAATTTTTCTTGAGCGGAAATGAGTTTTATACCACACTGAAAGGTGAAAGGTCCTAACCACAGGATTGAAACTTATTATTCATTAACCAACCTTTGTTTTTCATTATTTAGCCGAGCTTCTCTTGACAGCACGAGGCAAGCTAGTCTGGACAAAATATGGTTTCCAAAGAGGAATCTCCATACAAGGAAAATACAGTAAAACATTTGTCTGTATGAACAGTACCGGACGAGTTTCATTAAAGGTAATCTTCACATCCAACCAATTCTTTCTTAAAATTTTGTTCGCTGAAGGCGTAAACGTGAACACTGGATAAATAGGAGATGGCCCTTTCTTGACGTCCGGGGAAGATCAATTTAGAACTGATAGAGTTATCCAGTATAACTAAAGTTAGTTTAGTTTAGGTTCCCTCCTGTAGTAACACTGGATCAATAAGAGATGATCCTTACTTGATGTCTAGGGAGAACAGTTTAGAACTGATAGAGCTATCCAGTATAACTCAAGTTAGTTTAGTTTAGGTTTCCTCCTGTAGTAACACTGGATCAATAAGAGATGATTATTACTTGACGTCTAGGGAGAACAGCTTAGAACTTATAGAGCCGTATCCAGTATAAATAAAGTTAGTTTAGCTTAGCTTTCGTCCTGAAGTAACATGTACTGGATCAATAAGAGATGATCTTTACTTGACGTCTAGGGAAGAACAGTTTTACTGAGAACTGATAAAGCATGCCAGTATAACTAAAGTTAGTTTAGCCGGTTTAGCTTTCGTCCTGAAGTAACACTGGATTAATAAGAGATACCCATTGATTGGCCCGCAATGTGCTTTGTTTAAAGTAGTAGTGCTCTTATTGGGATTCCCGACATCTGAATTGTGAGTCGGTATTAAAGTATACTAAATCGATGTATCTCTTATCTTTTGAAGAAAATCTTTAATAAACAAAAGTGTTTGTTTTACATGAAAATCCACAAAAATGGTTACTACACATTTCGTTTGGTAAGCAACGAGAAACGGTTTCTGGGTTTCAAGCAAAATGGGGAAACAAAACTCGGACATAAAACTGAATATCATCACAAAGCTGCCTGGATGGTAATGCAAATAAAACATTCCTAACTTTACACAAAAGCAACAATGTACTTATAGATGTATATAACTATTTATTGATTAATTTATTTATTTTATTATTAACCTTATTTTAAAATAAATTATATTTGCTTAGACATATCAAGCAGAAGTACATAAAATGTACAGATATCAAAGTAACAACAATAAAAAGACTATTACGGGAACCACTGAGTATTTTAATAAAATTTCAAAAACTCATCAATAATTCATTTATCCAATCTTGAGTAAGAAATTAGTCACGTGCATACGTCTTTATACCAGCTAAAGAACATTTTAACAAAAGACCATTGTTATGCAAACTATATAAAGATTTTTATATAAAGATTTTTATATAAAGATTTTTATATAAAGATTTGACTTATTATGCAAACGTTTTTGAAGCCATTTAAAAAACTCGCAGGAGTGTTTTTTTACACTCCTGCTCGTTTCTTAAATAGTACATAAAACAACGGTAACTCCGAAAATAAACATTTTAATATTCTAGCTTTCGACTAAGATTCAGTCATCATCAGGAATGAAATTCGGTCATCATCATCAATTCAGTCATCCTGATGATGACTGAATCTTAGTCGAAAGCTAGAATATTAAAATGTTTATTTTCGGAGTTACCATTGTTTTATATTTTAAAAAGACCATTGCAATGCATTTGTTGAAATTATTTTACACGATTATTTTATACGGTGGCCCATAAGGGCCAACCCTTCTTCGTGGAAACATGCAGCTTCTCCGTACAAACGCGCTGTTCATCCATGGAAATCAAACTTCTCTGTGGAATATTGCCGTTGTTCTGTCGCGGGAAGCCTTTTCTCCGAATAAATATGCAGCTCCTCCGTGGAAACACGCATCTTCTCCGTGGAAACACGCAGCTTCCCGTGGAAACACGCAGCTTCTCCGATGAAACGTACACGCATCTTCTCCGTGGAAACACGGAGCTTCCCGTGGAAACGCGCAGCTTCTCCGTGGAAACGCGTAGCATTTACGTGAAAAACGATACGGTGGCCCGAATGGTGGGGCACATTTTCTCCGTAGAAACATGCAACTTCTCCGTAGAAACACGTGCCTTCTCTGCACGAACACGTGCCTTCTCCGTGGGTGAAGACTTTCCTTGTGAATTAAAAAGCGCACGGGGAGGGGGCGAGAAAGAGAAAATCAAATCACAACGCAGCCTCGTGGTCAAAACGTTCGAGACACTACAAGACTTCGAGTTAAAATCGTACGAGCGAATATTCATAATACTTTATTTTTAAAATGTGATCCCATCTGCAATTTCATTAAAACTCCACCTTTGCCTGGCAATTCTCACAATTATTTGAAAATTTAAAATACAATATCAATATGTAAATCAGTAAATATTAAAAAAAAATAATGTGCCTTCGAGACTCAAACGTTTTGACCACGAGGTTGCCCCCCCCCCCGACCGTGGTATAAAACAAGTATTCCGGGGTTATAATCGAAGGGAGGTGCTTTTTTTAATTCACAAGGAACGTCTTCACCCACGGAGAAGGCACGTGTTTCTACGGAGAAGGCACGTGTTTCTACGGAGAAGCTGCATGTTTCTACGGAGAAGAGGTGCCCTGTTCGGATCACCCTATCGTTTTTCACATAAATGCAACACCACGTTTCCACGGAGAAAGCTGCGTGTTTCCACGGAGAAGCTGCGTGTTTGAACGAAGAAGGTGCGTGTTTCCATGGAGAAGATGCGTGTTTCCTCGAAGAAGATGCGTGTTTCCATGGAGAAGATGCGTGTTTCCACGGAGAAGCTGCGTGTTTGAACGAAGAAGCTGCGTGTTTCAACGGAGAAGCTGCGTGTTTCCACGAAGATGCGTGTTTCCATGAAGAAGCTGCGTGTTTCCACGGAGAATATGGGCGTTTCCACGGAGAAGATGCATATTTGTTCGGAAAAAAGGCTTCCCGTGACAGAACAACGGCAATATTCGACGGAGAAGTGTGATTTCCATGGAATAACAAGCGTTTGCAGGGAGAAGCTCAATGTTCCTAAGGAGAAGGGTTGGCCCTTATATGGGCCACCGTAGGCCTAACATACAGACGGTTCTGCATTCAAAAATTATCGCCATTCCATACTCAGACAGAAAAATATTTCAACGTACACAACACATAATCGAACATACAGACAAACAGACACAATTCAACAAACAGACAAAGATAGTTGATATGATGAACAGACATACAGATAAATCTGCATGTTTAGCTATGTCTGTTTATCTGTATGTTCAACTGTATCTGTTTATCTGTATGTTCAACTGTATCTGTCTGTCTGTATGTTCAACTATGTTCTGTTTGTCTGTATATTCAATTATGTCTGTCTGTTGTATGTTCAACTATGTCTGTTTGTCTGTATGTCCAACTGTATCTGTTTGTCTGTATGTTCAACTATGTCTGTTTGTCTGTATATTCAATTATGTCTGTCTGTTGTATGTTCAACTATGTCTGTTTGTCTGTATATTCAATTATGTCTGTTGTATGTTCAACTATGTCTGTTTGTCTGTATGTCCAACTGTATCTGTTTGTCTGTATGTTCAACTATGTCTGTTTGTCTGTATATTCAATTATGTCTGTCTGTTGTATGTTCAACTATGTCTGTTTGTCTGTATATTCAATTATGTCTGTTGTATGTTCAACTATGTCTGTTTGTCTGTATGTCCAACTGTATCTGTTTGTCTGTATGTTCAACTATGTCTGTTTGTCTGTATATTCAATTATGTCTGTTTGTCTGTATATTCAATTATGTCTGTTGTATGTTCAACTATGTCTGTTTGTCTGTATATTCAATTATGTCTGTTGTATGTTCAACTATGTCTGTTTGTCTGTATATTCAATTATGTCTGTTTGTCTGTATATTCAATTATGTCTGTTGTATGTTCAACTATGTCTGTTTGTCTGTATATTCAATTATGTCTGTTGTATGTTCAACTATGTCTGTTTGTCTGTATATTCAATTATGTCTGTTTGTCTGTATATTCAATTATGTCTGTTGTATGTTCAACTATGTCTGTTTGTCTGTATATTCAATTATGTCTGTTGTATGTTCAACTATGTCTGTTTGTCTGTATATTCAATTATGTCTGTCTGTATTTTCAACTATGTCTGTTTGTCTGTATATTCAATTATGTCTGTTGTATGTTCAACTATGTCTGTTTGTCTGTATATTCAATTATGTCTGTCTGTATGTTCAACTATGTCTGTTTGTCTGTATATTCAATTATGTCTGTCTGTATTTTCAACTATGTCTGTTTGTCTGTATATTCAATTATGTCTGTCTGTTGTATGTTCAACTATGTCTGTTTGTCTGTATATTCAATTATGTCTGTTATTTGTATGTTCAACTATGTCTGTTTGTTCAACTATGTCTGTTTGCCTGTATGTTCAACTATGTCTGTTTGTCTGTATGTTCAACTATACTTGTCTGTATGTTCAACTATACTTGTCTGTTTGTTCAACTATACTTGTCTGTATGTTCAACTATGTCTGTTTGTCTGTATATTCAATTATGTCCATTTGTCTGTATGTTCAACTATACTTGTCTGTTTGTTCAACTATGCCTGTTTGTCTGTATGTTCATCTGTTTGTCTGTATGTTCAACTATGCTTGTCTGTTTGTTCAACTATATCTGTTTGTCTGTATGTTCAACTCTGTCTGTCTGTATGTTCAACTATGTCTGTCTGTCTTCATGTTCAATTATGTCTGTTTGTCGGTATGTTCAACAATGACTGTCTGTATGTTCACTCACGTCAACTGTTCTGACAAGTTGAGGTTGTAAGTGAAAATAACTATTCTAGATTTCCAATGATTTGCGTCATTCTCAAAGTTCCTATTCCGTGTTATCCACAAGTTATCAACTATTTCGAAGGTCAGTTTCAAAACATGAAAGAGGAACAACAAAAAGATCAAAAAGACTAGAAGTTACTAAGTGCTGGCCATCGACCAACCAAAACCCTGGGATTTATTATACCAGGATTTGAAATTGACTTATTTATAATTGCTAAAAACAAACGGTATATGTGAATCAATTTTGTCTAAAAAATATTGAAATTATTACATAATTACTAAAGTGTAATTTAAATTACCATACACTTGTGCCAATCTTTCATAAACTGATATCTCAAACCGTCTTCAATTAAATATAAAATAAGAACAACGAACATATGTCTTTTCAGTTTTTTGTGATACAGTTAGTTTGTAGTCTGTGTTCAGATTCTCTCCAAGTACAAATAATTGTTTGTGCTGAATTTCTTCCACTTGGTATTAAACATGAGTGTCAAGGTTACCACAGTTTTGCGTCATTCTCAAAGTTCCCATTCCGTGTTAACCACATGTTATTTCGAATGTGAGCTTCGATTAAACATGATTTGCAAGGAACAGGAACAATAGAAAGATCAAGAAGATTAAAGGATTGAGTCAATCCTTCACCAGATCTTATTGAGAGAGTAGAGTTGACGCACTCATGACGATTAAGAACAAATCAATCTCATTTGGTTGCATTTCGATACGAAATTTGCGGTTTTGTGTAAACACATATATTTTCATTAGACGTTTACCCAAAAGCCATAAAAGCTTATCGAGTGGCTTACTTCAACAGGCATTTACATCGTTGAATAAATGATAGAAATACAAAAAACAAACAACAAATGGTAATTGCTGGATGGTTTACAGGATCAAATGAAAATGAATAGCTCATTTTCAAACGTTGCCTTTTATCTGATCTCTGCATTGTTATATTAAGAGATTACAGGTCACTGGTATGCCTAGATCACGTAGGCTTAATTCCATTTTTTTTTAGCTTATTGTGTTCCTTGTTCAATGATATCATTGTCCACATACGCAGGCCATCAGGTACCGACAGCCATGAATGTCTCAACTAACTTGTTTTTCACACTCGGTCAGCTTTATGAGTTCTAAACTGGCTTTCCCAGAGGTCCAACTCTTTTTGGTCCAGTGGAGAAAACGGAGAATTTTATCGGTGTTATAATCAGACAATGGATATTGCAAAAGTCCAATCAGTCCCACACGCAGTCCACATATATGGACTGGTCACTTTGGAATGCAGCACAGACGGTTGAGGTTTATACTTTATAGGTTTATAGGACAAGTGGATAAGAGGTTTTATACCATTAGAGACCAGCTGGGGAAAAAGCCACTTAGCTATATAAAAAAACAATCTCGATCAACAGGATCATTTATCAACATAAATTAATAATTTTTTTAAATCATAAACACATGGATGCAGTGTTTTTTCATGCTGTGCCAGTGGTGGGACCCCGTCCAGTCAACATTCCCTGTGGGAGAATTCCTACGACTTTTAGCAAGCTTTGACTGTCACTTTTCAATATATATGTCTTGGAGTGAGAATCAAATCCACGAGGCCTGATTCCACGACGCGAAATTCTTCGCGAGAAATTGTGTCTGCGAAATACGGAAGGTTGCACATTATGAGCGATTCCATTGATTTGTTCCACTTTTTCCGCTTTTGCAGTGACTAGAACTGACTTCTACTCACTGGCGAAGCGAAATTTTTTTCTCGCGAAGCCTAATTTATCTTTACTGTGCATGCACCTAATGGACCATTTGCATTATAGACTAAATTTTGATCAAGACAAAAATTTCATCGCAGCTTGAAAGAGCATCACAAAATTAGTAATATTCCAAAGTTTCGTTGCGAATGTTGTAAAATGCGGATAATATAGCCTTGCGAAATGTGCAATTTTCAGTCATTTTGTATTACAAACGGGAAATTGATGCCACAACACCCGATTGGGCTGTCAATTTCCCGTGCGTAATGCAAAATGACTGAAAAACGGCAAACTTCGCATGGCTATATTATTATTATCCGCATTTTACAACATTTCGCAACGAAACTTTGGAATATTACTAATTTTGTGATGCTCTTTCAAGCTGCGATGAAATTTTTGTCTAGATCAAAAATTAGTCTATAATGCAAATGGTCCATTCATTTCGCGCGAAATTTTTCGCATTTCGCCGAAGAAAGCGCCCGCGGAATCAGCCTTTAAAAAAGTTTAACAAAGGAAAAAAATTTACTCCCAAAATAATGAGATAATCTCTTATTCTCTTTAATTAATTGCCGGCTGTTTCGGCTTTCTTGCTGTCATAAATACTGCCTAATATATAGATTAGAGATTTGAAGAATTTACTTCCATAAATTCATACCAAAATTAAATTTGAAAACATGACGTACGTGCAGTTATATGATACCTACTTCACAAACATCACGTATCCATGTTATGATTTTTTATATTTTGTTTGTTTTCCTTGTTTTCAAAGAGGTTTCGAAAATATTAAAAGTTTATTCTCTATATTCTATAATGATTTAGTTTTTCAAACTATTGCGCTATTTAAAACTTTAAATTTATACTGTTCTGACTTCTGGCCCACGAATTTAAACATATTTTAATTAAATTAACACTTGAATTTTGAAACCCAATATCCTTGCCAAACAGTTATATACAGGATAAACGATAAGTCATAACCTTGCTCCCATGATTGAAGCATTCAAGACCACTTATGAGAGTTCTTAGCTAAACTACGTCAAGTGCAGATATTTTACGTCAATAGTTTAAAAAGGAAGACAATAATGAATAAAGACAGTCCATGCACTAAAAAAGACATGAGTGAGGGAAGCATATAGATAAACGACAGGAAGGAATATTTTTAGTTTAAATAAAAAGTTCTAAAGATATAAATAACTTACATGACGCTCCATTGAGTCTTCAAAAGGCAGGAAGGTGAAATGAATTGCCATTTTGTCAAATCTAAATTAAATGTATATAATCGTGTATTAATTGGTATGTATTAAAAAGTAATTTTTATACTAAACTTTCTAACGAAACTTTTTCATTAAAATGTCTTAAAACAAAGACATTCTTCTCGGGTCATTTAAATAGTCTAAATCGATATCAACAAGTCATTTTAATTCCTTTCCTGTTTCCCAGCAATTCCAGCAATGAAATTAACAAGGATATTAAAATTTTACGACCGTCTTAATAGTTCATATATATTGAAAGTGAAAAACACATACATGGCATTTTTCAATCTTGAAAAGAACCAAATTACCATAAATATGTGCAACGTTGTAATACCATACAAATTGAAACGTGAAGAATGCAATAAAATTATTACAAAAATATTCATGGTCATCACAATAATATTTAAATATATGATGTTTGTCCTTCATGTCAATAGATTAAAAAGGAAGATTAACCACGTTGTAAATGTTTTGACTTTGCAGGGACACCGAAAACAAAATCTGTTTCAAGTGCCCTGAGTGTGAAGATTTAGGAATGAGGCCGAATATGCATGCAATAACTTTATGTTTGTGATATTACTATTAGACTAGAAGAAAGAATGCTGGGAATCGCTAATAAATTCATTAATTTTTTAGGCTCGGTTGATTGGTCAAATTTGACGTATTAAGCTGTTATATTCATGTGGATACAACAAAACCGAAATTTGCAAAATGGCGGCTAGCCGTTTTGTGGAAGTTACTGATAAAGAAACGAGCACAATAAAAATAAATTCAGTCCCAAAGAATATAAAAGACTTTTGTAAAAATACTAAAACAATTATTTGCCTCAGGCATTATCGGGGAATATTCACCTCGACTTCGTCTCGCCGAATATGCCCCGATAATCACAAGAGAGCTTCGGGATGATAGGGATTCGACTGCCTGAAAAATACAAGGAGAACTTCGACGTTTGGAGCAAAGGGCTTCCCTGCTGGCAGAGGTCTCTATTTGTGCTGGGAAGCGAAGGCCTTCGCTTCCCAGCACAAATAGAGACCTTTGCCAGCAGTTAGTTTCATGCAATAATGTCATCTCTGATCTCAGGCTCTGAAACGTCTCAGTTCGTCGCAAATTGTCAATTAGCCCACGTGGCAGGCTAATTGTCAAGTGGCATGCACATATGTTCAATTCTGGATAGTTTCCTTACGAAATCTTTAAAAGGTTTAACGTTTCGTAATGCTTGTTGACGTACAACAGTCTAAATGATGCTAAAATTATCCTACAAATCCCAAAATTTGCCAGAAATATTGGTTTAACAAAATCCACCTATGAAAAGCAAACAACAGAGAGTTAAAACAGAGACACTTCACAAACGTTGACTCGTGAAAAAGCAAGAAATTTAAATTACATTTCTTCATTCCATTGCCTCCAAGACTACTAGATATATTTAAAAGAATTATCATCTTTCTCTGATCACTAGATGTCGCCATCAGCATGACGCCCACCTGGCTCTATATATGGCAACTCCTATTTTTTTTCAATTCTTTTCAAGCGGTGATCATCGAAAAAGCACAATAAAACTCCGCTTGATACAAAATCATTTCAATGTGTTAGTTATTTTAGTACATAGTTTTTACCGCTTGAATTCTAACCTAAATTAATGTTTACAAGATTTTATCCCCTGTTTCCGGTTTATTGCTAATAACACTTCCGGTGCATGTTAACTAATAACCCTTCCGGTGCATTGAACACACGAAAATAACGTTAACTGGACATGAGGTGGCAATTAAGGGAGTCAGTGCATTAAAGCAATATATGCACGTGTTCAGCATGACGTAAATAGGCGCAGAACGGAACCAACAAGGTCAAAGACGGAGCTAACGGTCAAAGTGGTTTACTGCGCATGTCACATAGTACGCACGCTTTAGTCTTGGTTAGAGTATTTAATTAATTTTGAATGCTGTTCTTAGGGTTTGTAATCCAAGTGAGTATATATATACATTTTAAGACCTGACCAGGAACGACTGCGAAAAATGCAGCACAAGGTCCTCTGGTAGGAATTGAACCTACGGCCCTGCGATTCCGGTGCAGGGCCGTAGGTTCAATTCCTGCCAGAGGACCTTGTGTTGCATTTTTCGCAGTCGTTCCTGGCCAGGTCTTAAAATGTATATATATACTCACTTGGATTAGAAACCCTAAAAACAGCATTCAAATATTAATACCACCAAGTGAAGTGCAAAAAACCAGATTATTTAATTAATTATAGATTGATTGATTATCGATTGATTGATTATAAATTAATTTCGAGAGTTGCCGTGGTTTGTGTCTGAACTACCTAAAAAAATATTTCAAACGTGGTGGTCCAGTGTAGGTAGTATTCTACAATAAGCTGTCGTGGTTTGTGGCTGAACTACCTGAAAAAAGATATTTCAAACGTGGTGGTCCAGTGTAGGTAGTATCCTACAATAAGCTGTCGTGGTTTGTGGCTGAACTACCTGAAAAAAGATATTTCAAACGTGGTGGTCCAGTGCAGGTAGTATCCTACAATAAGCTGCCGTGGTTTGTGTCTGAAATGTTTCAAAATTGAATGTCGATAGTCCGTCTGAGATATCTTTTTCAGCTAATAGTTGAGACACAAACACGGCAGCATTTTGTTGAATACTACCTGCACAGGAAGGTCAGATCTGAGTCAGACGCGAATCATGACAGATTATTGTAGAATACTGCTGCACCTCCAATTAGTTTAGGAACGGAAATCCTAGAACCTCTATTTTGTACGTTGTTCCTACGGCCAACGCCCCAAAAGGAAACTGAAACTATGACGCATTTTCCGCAAACAAAGGTTAAACTGAAAATTTTTCTCATCCTATTCACGTGATTTCATTTTTTTTTAATTACTCGATCTACTTGATAAAATTTTTTCAGCACGACTGAAGGCCGATCTCTTTAATTAACAACCGGTTCGACCGAATTCCAGTAATTCCTTCCACTGTTAAGCCCCGTTTACACGAGCAAATTTTATTTGACAAATTTCATATGTCAAAGATATTTTGCTCGTGTGGATGATGCATTTGTGACAAATTTATTGTGACAAATGCATTTGAACAAAAGCTAGCATGCTAGCTTTTGATCAAATGCATTTGTCATATGAAATTTGTCAAATAAAATTTGCTCGTGTAAACGGGGCTTTAGGAAACGTTTCTCTTTTCGCAGAAGTTGAACTCGTAATTACAAACTATGGCATAAATTTACCATGTTCTTAACATAAGAATACATGTTCTTATAAAGAATATTTAGCAATCTCTTCTCAACCGGGTTAATTCAGTATTTTATCGTTGTCCAACGCCAGATGGTTTTTAATGCGAGAGTCTCAGCTGCACTTAATAACAGAGGCCCTGTAACATCATGTGACACAACTATTAACTTTCGCTTGAAAAATGTGAGAACGATAAATCGGCTGTTCCCAGTTCAGCCAGTTGATATCGACAGGCTTGAACAAGGTTGTGTTGCACCCTCAGCAGAACAAGTTGTCAGCAATGTTGTTACAGTGTGTTACAAATGCACAACGCTGCAACAGTACTGTCGACAACTTTTACCGTATGTTACAAATGCACAACGCTGCAACAGTATTGTCGACAACTTTTACCGTATGTTACAAATGCACAACGCTGCAACAGTATTGTCGACAACTTTTACAGTATGTTACAAATGCACAACGCTGCAACAGTATTGTCGACAACTTTTACCGTACGTTACAAATGCACAACGCTGCAACAGTATTGTCGACAACTTGTTCTGAGGGTGCAGCACAAGCTTGTCAGTCAAGTCTGTCGATTTCAACCGGGAACAGGTTGGTCGTTTTCACGCGTGTCGGTAATTCTTCCAGACACAACAGTGTAGAATTCTATCTATGGCCGAACCCCCACGTTTGAGATAATCAGTACAAGTGTACATTTTTTTATTGTTTTTACAATGATTAAAACATTGAGTAAACTGACACAGCAGTTATTGTTAAACATTATGCAGAAAATCTTCCCTGTCTGGGAGGATTCAAAGAAAATGTTTTCACATGAAGCACTCCCGGTGCGACAATAAACTGAAGATACATAAACGTGAAATTTCCACTAAATTGTTATCCATTTTCAAAACCAGAATCATTTTGCACATGCAAGAATGCGTCTTTACCGTTAAACATCTACTATATTTGAATAAAAATGGACATTTCGTCATCAGTGTTTTGCTGAAAAAGTCAATTAATTCCCACCAACGCAATCGTGACCTCCGTCCACAGCGAGTCAGGAGGTAACTTTGTTTTATTGCAAACCATTCAAGCACGTCCTGCTATTCTCTTTGAAGTTTCCCCGCAATAACTTTCACAATCAGCTTGGCCTTGAAAATTGTTCACAGCAACTGTACCATCGATTTGCTCCTTCTTATATTCCAGTATTTCTTACTACTAACTCCCGAACTCCCAACACTTTGCAAGAAAAATGCGTGACACAAACAGTCGCAATAATGAAGCAGTTGACTTGGACAGAAAAGAGGTCTTTATCACAATTAATGGCCGCGATTCAGGGTCTAAAGGTTTATCGATTGTTTTTTAAGTGGTCATTGAAAATGCCAAAATAGATGCTCTTATAAATAATTTGCCTGCTTGATACAAACTATATAAACTATCTATCGGTAACAAGAAAGATTGCTTAGTTTTAGAGATATCGGCATGAGGCTTATTAGCGTTTCAACAAATCTTTTCGAATGCAGAAAGAGACAAATTCACTAAATTCGAAGTGAAAGTGCTCCAAAGATATATTGTCATTGATCTATGAACCTTGACGACCGCGCTTACAATGAAAAGATAACTAGAAATGTTGAAAATTTGAAGCAATTTGTTTTGAACAAAGGCTACAATCATTAGCTTATGTAGTCAATATGAGGCTGCAGAAAGAGCAAGAGAAATCTTAAGTTATTCGATGATAATCGATATTGAATATATAGTCGTTAACTGTAAAAATAGATCATATTGTAGTTTTTGAACCAACTTCGTTTCTTGGCAAAATGCATGGGTGCAAATCATGAAATACAGTCATTTTCCTTTCCTATATCCTCAGACCTCTAACCAAAGACACAGTTGTAATATACAGTTTCTTCCTACACACCAGAAACCGAGGCGTCTACCCCACTCAAAAACAAACAACAAATAGGTGTTATTTATCTATACAATAACACGAACAGCTATTTCACACTAAAAGGTAAAGGTCACATCAACAATGAGCCATTAAACACTGAATTTTCGTGAAAAAGCAGAGTCAAAGAGAAAGAAAAGTACGAATACAAAGTCTGAAACACTTTCAACTCCCTTCAAGTGAAATGTTAACGTTTGCATGAAACATTTTGCCACTCAGCGAAATCTCTATTCTCAGCAGGACATGATAACGGGAAGCAAGGAGGGGAGGAGCGTATACGTAATAAGAACGCAAATGATATTCTCAGGCATGCAACAACTTGCCTTTTATATTGTTTACAAGTTGTTTGTGGCTGCAGGCAAAATCTGGCAAAGATCTGATCAAACTCTTCTGATTCTCTGCAACAGTAGAGAATGGCATGTCGACCTTTATAGTCACAGTGTTAACACGTGACAGCTTGGTAACCAAATCCTTTCGAGGCACAGGATACTCTTCTCAATATCCGTCAAGTGGTATATGAATACGAAGTTACTTAGAGCAAGCAAGGAGTGTCGTCAAGAATCTTCAACTGGTTATCTTCTAACATTTTGTTGCAATTACAGATTTTGGAATGTTTATTTACGTAATGTGATCGGAAGAGGAGGCTATCATCGAAAAAGAAGAGGAACTAGGTTTAATTCGAGCTCATTAAATTGACCCAGGCTTGGCTGTGGTTGTTCAAACGCGCAGTCGCAAGCTATGCTTAGCTCATAAGACGCCGAAAGTTCGAATCGAAAGATTTTATCAAAGTATTATTGAAAACTACACAAGATAATGGGTGTACATTATGTAGTGGAAATTTTGATCGTGCTAATAACGTATTCCACGTAAGTATTAACAATCATGTTACTTGGAAATATTCTCTACATGTGTATCATTTGTGTTGAGATGTTTTTAGATATCTACAGAATCACCTAGACTTACTGTCTACCTACTTCATGGTTCGACGGTCACTGTAAAATAGCTTCTTGAAGCAATTCTTTTCATATTTAAAACTATTCCCTTTGACTCTTCCCACGTCCGATTTTACGCATAGACCTAATGGCTAATAGCTTGTGGTTTTCATATTACGAAGTTCAGGAAGTCGAATTTAATACAAGGAATATGCGCGCATCAGCAGCAAGGGACAAAGTATCGAACTATAAATGCTATAATTTGTAAATATCTAACAAATAGTTATAATGATATCGCGTGCGACTAAAACGTGAAAGTTTATGAGTATGTAGATGCTTAAATGGTTTGACAAAGCTGTACTAACGATCGCGCGTGAATACGTTTATTTTGCACAACTTTGATATGCGTCCAAACACTTAGGAACAAATATCTTAAAAAATGAGAAAGAGCCAAACAACTGCAAAGAGTATAATTGCGGATTACAGTTGTCGGTATTAACACCTATGGCTATGTGCGCAAGTCATTATGCTAAATATTTGTCGAATTTAAATCGTTTGGAATTCGTTGAGTACTGCATGTGAGTTTCTTTATCGTCAGTGATCTCCTGTTCATATATTTTCTTACATGTAGCAATTATACTTAGTCATGTAGCAATTTCGGAAAGATCTTTCCCGTTCTTTGCCAAGGCCCACTTGCTGGTTGTTTATAGAATGTTCATAATGTTTAAATAATATTAATAGTCAAAGATAATGGTAATTAAAACATCCGCAACACTTGCCAACAGTCTTGATGAACGAGAGGAGTATGGAAAACTAGAGACCCAGTACATTCTCCTGAGAATCGTAAAGAAATCACACTGCGTTTTGCTTCAAATTCTGGATCCTTACTTTTGTACATAACGACTTGTGAAAGTCTACCACAACAAGTATCCACACTGAGGCCTAATGTTTGATAATACAGTGTATGTTAGTCATAGGTTAAAAGACATTAGTCATAGGTTAATACACATAAGTCGTAAGTTCCATGTAAGTCGCAAATCATACATTGTCAGTATCAACATACAAAAGCTTCCCCTTTATATTTTAGTGTCATATCCGAAGATCGTATCGTATAGCATATAGATTTCTTAATTCTCATCGCTTACGATTAAAAAACATATCCGTATATACATAAATATATCATGTATTGTCTGCTGAGTTTTTTAAAAGATTACGGAAATAGCAAAAGGCAAAATATTAATCGACTGTATAATTATCCAGTTAATGTTAGGGACATAGGCAAATCTATGATCAAATGATACACTATCAACTTTCGCACATAACTTTCGTACATAACTTAAGCGCAGTGTAGTTTTAAACTTCATAAAACTATATGTTTGCATTGCTATTATTTCTTCTTTCCTAAGCAATTTGAGCAAGTCTGCAGACCAGTTAATTTTCCTGTTATATTGTAGTTAAACTTCACACAACAGTGCAGCACAAAGCCAATGTTAAATCTCAATTCAGAGAGTACTTTGTGAACTACCTCTATCGAAAGCACTGACGTTATAGGCTTATTCCCTTGCTTATTCCTTTATACATATATATTGGTTCTTTATCACAGCAATCATCATGCATGATAATCGTCCAAGCTCTCGTGACTTCGAAATTTGACAACTTGTCCGTAAAAGGCAAGGAACTGTTAGAAAAGCTGAAAGGACTCCATCTTTGGTGGAAACTTTCATAAGAAAAACAAAGTATTAGACAGGGAATGCTATAAGAAGCATAGAATTTTGAGTGTCGAGTTCCATTGTAGGCAGTAATTAACTTTTAGACGAAGTCGAAGGGCCTTGGCTCAAAACATCAAGAAAGTTTTTTCTTTATATTTTAGCCAATATTGTTCAACATATAGAACCTAACACTAAAAGATCATGACATTGACCTTTACTAATGCCTATATCGCGAGTTCAAAGAATGCCTACCGATTTTGTCTCGTGTGTTTTAGATTTACATGCACTGTTATTCTGCGATGACAGACTCAGTATTTCATAAAGAACAATTCCCTATACCCAAAACATCCTGTTCGGGTTCGCGGTTAAAATGCCTTTTCCGCGAATAGAAAAATTGCCAACATCGAGGTGGTGGGGAAATTGCAAATTACTTCCATATTGCTCGGTTTCAGCAATAGTTATATGACACGCAAATGGGGGTCAAGAAATGTTGAGAATCAACGTACATCTCTGAATCTATTTATTTGTCACTAAATACAAGCCTACAACATACAATGAAGAGAATTAACGTTATTTTCTCAGGACAACTGTTAGTTGACCATCTGCATCTGCTGCACGAAACATATCCATTCGAGTCATTTGCTAGCGACAAGAACTCGACACAAAACAGCGTGTCACACCATCACGCGACGAGTTTATGATTGCATGCACGCATGGTGAAAAATGGATCCTCACGAAAATGATTTGAATAGGAAGACATTATTTTGTGGGTTGATAGCTTTTATATTCACTAGTAGAAAAGCTCACGTAATTTTCCCGACCCGCTACTAACTTCCCGAGGAAGGGACTCGAAACGTCGAAGTTCTCCTTGTATTTTTCAGGCAGTTGTATAACTTGTATCCGAAGCTTTCTTTGTGAATTTAACACTGTCATAAGTTACGGTTACCACTGAGTAATTTTACAAAATACAAAACAATGGACACTTCGAAAACATTAACACTGTCATGCTACAAACTTTTGTAAATGGTCCATGCATGTACTAATAATTTAAATAAACATGAAAAAGCAACAAAGAATTTGTCTCTAAGTACTAAATAAGCAACCATTGGATATATAAATCAATATGAATACACATCCGTAGGGTACAATTTTATATCTGATAACTGATGACGAGCAGTCTGTTTATATAAGCTGGCTTTGTGTGTGCCTGAACTAGTTAAAAAAATGAAAACACTTCGACGTTTTGAATGTAACGAAGTTGGTATATCTAAAAACAAAGTGTTTAATAACTTTTTCAGGTATTTCAGACACAAACCACGACAGTCTGTTATGCAATATACATTGGACCCCCCATGCTTGAGACATTGTGCATAATATATCCTATTGGGGTTTTATCTCTCCTCATATAAACTGTCTAAACTAGCGAATCATTTCCGTCTGAGATGTTTATAAAAAAAATAGGGGAAGAGCAGGAGATAAAAGAATAATCTTCTTGAATGTTATATCACAGTTATGTGGTTATAGTAATAATTAGACCTTTTAAAACACATGCGGCCCAGTGCATGTTACGGACTACATTAAGCTGCTGTGGTTTGTGTCTAACCTCTTCCATTTGAAATGTCTTTTGCACATTCAGACACAGACAATATGTCAATGGCAACTTGCCATGTAACTTTTACACGACTAATTTCTAAGACTGAGGCTTGTGTAAGACTTCTTTTGTCTAATAGCTGTATTGAATGATGACAATAAGACCTTTAGGCGAAAATAGATGAAACGCCAAACGTATGAATTGCCGTGACTATACATATGTTTCATAGCTTTTCATCACCAAAGCTAATGCGGTATTAAATCTTGTTATAACCGCAGCACATTGCGGCATCGAGGTGACTAATTTGATGCTGCGCAATAAAACAATTTATATATATCTCTCGTACGGTATGCAACTAGACATGAAAAACACAAACAGAACTTCGACATAACGCTGGGGTTTATTTCTCACTTAATCTGACAATGATGATAACAATGAAAACATCAATGTCTGGAGCGGGATAATTTGAACTATATTAACTGGGCAAAGCAGTGTAAAAACACAAAGGACCACCGAGATTCCACTTGAGGTAGAATATGGGTACATATTTCCATCCTTTTTCACAATCATCATCAGATCATCAGATCTATATATCTTCACGATGTTTTAAAATATTCGATCCCACTTAATTTTTTTTTGTTCTTTGCGGCATGAGAGTATGAAACTATTTTTAAACATTACAAATGTAACAGTAACTCACGAACTGTACTATCAGTGGAGATGGCAAAATTATTGCGTAATTCGTGTTTGTAGAATGGAATGCATGCCGTGCGGAATGAGTTAAGATTGGGGTCAGAATTAGGGGTAGAGTTAAAAACATGTCTCAAAATTCGTGTTCGCGCGTGTCATTCCACACGGCTATTCCGCCTTTTATATTCACTGAGCTTGAACAAGGTTTTAGATCATTCAATTTCTCTTGACTTTTGTCTTTTACTGTTTAACAACTAGCCCCTTATCACCAGTAAATAATGCAAAATTATGTTTTTCTTACAGGGTCGCTGTTAAGCCCACGGCAATAGTAAGTATTATCATTGTATTTTTGACCCCACCCACCATGTAAGAATGTATAGGAGTGCAACTATTTGCTTGTGCTGGTATTGCTACCAGGGTGAAATGCAGGTGGGCAGGCTAGCGAGAGACAAGACAATGAAGGCAATGCATTGCGATCAGTGCGGAACATATGTGTCTTGTTGTGGTCGAATTAAACAGCAATTGTTTCCTTATTGGGGCAACAGTGACAAATAATTTGCAGAATATTTGACTTGTTTTTGTGGAAATTTGATTTATTTCACAAGAACAAAACAGGTATATTTATAACCACGCAAATCTACAATGACAAATAATTGTTAAAATATGAAATACAACATGTGCCGCGGGTCAATAAGTCAGAATTAAAGAACACCGCGGCGCTAAGCTGTGCCAATAATACTGCAGTCATCCAATAATTGAGTGAGTGTTGGGACATGAAACTGCGTAAACTGACAAATTCTCAGTCCTATAACGGCTATTGCTGCCCACGCTGACGCCATTTGAGCTCAAAAAGTTCACCTGGTAATGTCTTACAATGTTGAATACAAAGGTACAACGACATGTCATACTAGAAAACGTACCAATATCAATACCAGCTTTATTTCACGAGGGTGTAAAGCCTCATGTTTATCAAAGTTTCTGTGATCACAGTAGGAGATTTGAATACGTAAATCACTAAGTTTTGAAGGATTTGTAAGAAATGTTCGAGGAAACTGACTGAAAGATGCGGTACAGTCTGATTTGCGCATGTGCACAAAGGAGCCCTCATTTTATTTACAAACAGTTTATTTAGGTTTTTATTTCATTTTATGTTCTTGCAAAGCTTGATTGTTGTCTCTTGATAATTTATTATGCTCTAGAATCATGAAAATATAAATAGTTGTCGAATAAAATTCAATATTTTGGATACCGAAATGTAAACAAAGCCTTTGTTTACATACGGACTGTACCGCATCTTTAATACCAAACACTGAGTTTGTCGATGCAAAATTTCACCTGTGATCACTGAGTCAGAAACTTTGATAGTGTAAACAGGCTTAACAGTTCAAAACTGAGTAACTATATATACTGGCCCTCAATATAAACAAGATAATTAAAAACCTATAAAGAGCTAAATGCAATATGGGATTGATATAATAATGATCTAAGTGTTTTAACTACGTAAGTGAATAATCATGTTTGTTAAAGATTTTAGTGAAAGCAAAAAAGGAAACTTTGTTCAGTTCCCAAAGTCGTGCTCATGCGTATTATCACTAGAAATAACATTTAATCACGGGACATTCTTCTTCATTTAATCTGTGAATCAGTTTTTAACACCTCAGTAAAACCATTAATTGCAAGTTATTCAAGTTTTATCATGAAATGCAAGTATAAACTTGCATAAAATCTTGTACGATGACGTGATGTTTCTTGTCAAAGATGAATTTGCGTTTCTGCGAAAAAGAGCTTTGTAGCCTACTGTATTATTCATTGTCTGAAGTGGGTGACAGTGCAATAGATCCGATTTAATAATTGATGCATTTTAGTAGATAGTTCTTCAGAAGATCATTAGAGACACTCAGCACGGTATTTTGACTGTAGCCTATGCTTTAAACTAAGTTAAACTGATATTAAGGTAATTCCGCAGTAATTGTTCCCGAAATGAGAATGTGCTGAAACTTCCCAGGCATGGAGTTCATGATATACTTAAAGTAAAATCACACAAAAAAGTCGGGGTCACCGAACTCGTTGAGAAGATATCACAATATACCACTTTTACACCAATATGGCGCCATCTTGTCGCTCATTACGAGTAACAGCAAAATCACAATAACCCGATATTTATTGACATTTTTAGCACGGATTTTGCTTTAGTAAACCTATCTTGTAATTATTTTATAATTGATAAAGGATTTTTTCACAAGATCCAGAAATGATTTTTCTTTTAATTTCGGATATGAAATATAAAATGCATTAAAGAAATAAATTATCAGTTAAAAAACGGGGGTCACCGATCTTTTTAAGGAATTGTGGCATTAAAACGTGAAATACGAGTAAATAAATATACTACAGACACAGGAACCCTAGCTACACTTTTGTATGCCTTTTTTTGAAAACATTGATTTTAACGTAATTCTTTGCACGAATCTAACCAAAAACGTTTTGAAGTAACATAAAATTGTCATAAAATTATTTTTTTATAAACGGTACGTATAATGGTCTAATGGATGAAATTATAAGTTATAAGATGTGCGCAGTAAAAGTGCGCAATGCAAAACTGCGGAATTACCTTAACAACCTTGGGCTTGGGAAAGAAAGAAATAATAACTGTTGTAATTTAAGCCACTTATTTTAGGCTAGCGTTTACACTGTAGTCTGTGCAGGACAGCTTTCCATAGCGACGTGAAAAACACGTATCCGTACCTTTTAGGAACGCTATTTTCAGAGGAATTATTGCAACAGAGAGATGTTGTTTCGCTCAGCCCCTGAAAGTTGTACATTCCGTATCGGACAGGTGCTTTTTCGCGCCGCTACGGAAAGCTATCTGGTATAATGTAAACGGAGCCTTGTTTAATGTGTCTACCACTCTGAGGTGGATGGAATTGACAAAGGTCTCCGATCGTGTGGGTTGGTTATACGTATAACTATAAGGGTTAGTTTTTAGCGAGGGAGGAATATCTGAGGACCCAGAGAAAACCCTCGAAGGCTGAAGCGCAGAAGAGACAAGCAAAGGGCAACCAACCCACAACATATATATATATATAGTAACAAACTTAACTCAGAAGTATAGGGGCAGTTCTGGCAACCATGCTTCGACCTGTCCTCAACCAATTGTTAAACTTGATGACATATACCGCAATTAGATCAGACAAAGGTTTGAAATATAAAGATTTCTTTAAAAACTCTTCCCCAGATAGCTACTGTATATCGCAACTCTCAGGCCAATATTCTCTATTACTTCCTCAGATAAGTGGACAAAGATTTTTTTTTTGAGATAAAATAACATACCCTCAATTCCAATACAGTATATGGTATATTGCTGGTTCGAAATTTACTATTTTTGAAAATTTTTGCAATGCTTTTAACAATCATTCTCCTTTGCCCTTTAATGCTAGTCAAAGACTGTAAATTGTATCTTGGAGCTTTTCCCAACTTTAGCAAGGAATCATGCCTAAATATTTTAGAAATTCGTGAACGCGCAACAGTAGCCGACAGTGCTTGATAGAGCCAAACTAGAAGCACCCATCAACCAAAGAAATTTGAATTTGAAACCCGTACAGGAATTGAACCCAAACCAGAGCTATAACGGTATAAGAGTATAGGCTTAAAGGTCCATATATATACACACCAGACGCGATTCGACAACGCGACGCGATTTTTTAGTTTTTGAAAGTTAATAAAATAGCCAATGAGAGCAAATTTTGAAAGATATGTAGACCAAATAACTCAAAATGTTATAGCGCTTGTAAATATTTGGAAATATAAACTCGAATCAAAGTTATCGGTCAGTGAAAATCGAAAAGTCGCGTCGTGTTGTCGAATCGCGTCTGGTGTGCCTGGACCTTTACAACTACCTGAAAATACAAGGAAAACGCCATCGGGAAGTTAGTGGATTGGGAAAATACACGTGCTTTTATACTAGTGAATATAAACACATGTATTTTCTGATTCATGCTTCTAAACTTCCCAACGAAGAGTCCTGGAAGTTGTCCTTGTATTTTTCAAGTATAGTTGAATCATTCTCAATCCTCAGTTTTCTGCTGTTATTATCACTACCTACGCTGACACGGACTGTTATTGAAAAGTTGGAAACCATTTCTATTTTAGCCAAACTGGGATGATCCAACCAGACAACCTATGGTCAAGTACGCTCAGTTGTTCAATTATGGTGCAAGTGCTTATGTGAGAATTACTAACAAGACAATTGATGCAACCACACATAATAAGACGGACCCTGACAGTAAGTTTTCTTTGGTATTAGTTTTAAATAAGTAGGTTGAAGAGGGCTATTATCGATATCAGTTGTGCGGCGAGGGAGTCCATCCCCTTTTCGCTTGCGCTTTACCAGGGAGATATTTTGTTGAAGTGGAGCGCCACACCTACCGTCAACTCCCATACGCCGAATCGAACCTGGGACCTCTCGATCACCAGATGAACGTTCTACCGCCTGTTTTTTATGAATACATTTATTAAACTAATTTTATTGATACTGCATGGATAGCTCAATCAGTTCTAAACTGTTCTACCAGATGCCGGAAGTGGGCAGTCCGAGGTCAAAGCTTCAACTTTTTACATACAGTTGTCTTTTTTTCCTTGCACTTAATGTGTCAACTTATATTTTGATTAAACGTTTTCTACATCCTTCGATATAATTTAGTGTTTTTAAATCTGTTGAATTGGTTTAAGTTTTTTCAATCAAAGCATTTCCTTTACGCCTTAAAGGCTAGCAACACAAGTGTCTTTGATATGCAAATTTTTCTAAGGAGCAACAATTAAACCCTTTCTTGTAGCTTTGAATAATAATTGGCTATATTGCACAACTCCATTTAAGTAATAATTATTGCTTTCAGCTCAAAGTGTTTTTCAACTGTATATTTTATTTATAATATTGGGCACCAAATTAGGTTTGAACTTGGACGTCTTGAATTAAAAGGAAACGCCCTTGACTAACGTCATGCATACAGACAGTGGTTTAGGTCGTGAAGGGGAGTTTTAATCGCATTTCCCTACGAAAATGTTTGTCCCACTGATTTACCAACATTCTCAGCACGAAAACGGCTAGTCTCCCTCACAGCCGCTCAAAATTACTGCCTGATACTGGTGCAAATCCCGTTTCTAGTTGTCTAAATCCCATTTTCCAAGTGGAAAACTCCCATTTTAGGCCTCTATATAACATTGGTAAACCTCTATAATTTATTGTAGGGTTTGACGTAAGGTTGTTAAGAATTTGACGTCATACCGCTAAGTAGTGCGAACGAGGCTCTTACAATTTGCCGGAATAGACGTCAATAGGAAATCTTACAGCCAAATGTTTTCACTGATATTTATCACTAAAATCTTCGTCTTTTCAAACTTTGTTATCTATGATAATTCACGAAAAGAACACTGATATGAAAGATGAGTCTGTCTAGGATTACACATGTGAATTTCAATGTTTTCGACAAAGCTTAGCGAAGCTAAGTCGGATTAACCCGTGTTAAAATTAAGCCTGGTCATCAAGCACAAGACTCAAGAGGGATCAAACTTATTGATTTCTTATGTACTGTCCTCACTACGATGCAACATAAACATAAGAATATCAAAACGTTTTTTTCCTTATGCTTATGTTGTTGCTTGTGCTTTATCTTGAGTTGTAGTGAGGATACAATGAGAACAACACAAGTATAAGAACATCAAAGCGTTCCGCTTGCTTGTGCTTATATGTCGTGAGGACCTGGGATTTGATAATCCCGTAATCCCCATTTACGTTTGTGTTGGAAATGTTTTGTTGAACGCCTCACGAACTGATCCAGTTCAAAGTGGTGGCGGTGGTGATAATTCTTCTTTTGGAGAGAGGGGAAGGGGGTCACCCACTTCGGAGTGCCCGGAGGAAGCCCACGATCTTTGGTGGACTTTTACGACTGAGACAAAATCCACTTTTTTAATTCTCAAGTATATATAAAAGGATTGATGAAATTATCCCAGCTATTTTTATAATCTGATTAGAAAGTGTTGGCATTGACCTCCGTTACAAGGTTAATTCCTGTATGAGGCGCTTGGTGCTAGCTTATTAAATATCTTTATCACAATCAACTAAATATGTTAGTAGGTGTCAGAACATGGTCAGTCTTTGCTCGTCAACGTTAGAACTGTCTACACTTGTAATAAGAAGAAAATTGAACCAAACCAATTACTGAATCAAATGAAATAAATGAACATCATTTTCTCACTCTGATAACTTGCCAGTTCACGGCAACCTGCTGCACGACAGTGCTTTATTACTGAAATCTTGTAAATAAACAATCGCCACAGGCTTAGTTTCTTTTCACTTAACTATTCTACTGATAATAAGGCAGCTTAAATGGTCGCAATTTTGGATTCTGGAAACATATACAAACTGTAATTTTCCAAAGTGGAACAGAGTGTAGTGAAGCATTAAGACAAGTGATAACCTTTGATTGTTCATTCTTTGTTTGAACTTTGGTGCTTAGAGACTTGTGGTGATTGTTGAAGAACCACTTGTGTCTTCGTTCAAGCACAACTGGGCAATAACACAACACTAAGAAAAATTCTTTACACGAGCACACCTCCCCCCCCCCCCATCTTCATACGCTGCTCAAGTCATGGTTGGATCTCCTGAATCTTTGACTTGAAAACAAGGACTCCCCACCCCAGATCATAGACAAAATAATAGTGGAGCCGGCCCTTACCACACTAACCCACCTCAAACTTTAATGCCATAATTATGCATAGCATCCGTTACATGTGAAAACAGTGTTTTCAGTTTGACTCTATATCAAACATCGCAACATTGTGATAAAGAGATGACATTTACTGCTACTGGTCCTCTGGGAAGCATAATTTAGAATTGATAGAACTATCCAGAAAGCTGGGGAATGAGAGGGATTGAACTTGAGAGATGAGAGATTGAGAGGGATCAACTACCTGAAAAATACGTCGACGTTCCAACTAAGTTCCCGTCGAAGGGCCTTTGCTCGAAAGGTCGACGTTTTCCTTGTGTTTCTTTTCAGGTAGTTGAATCCTTATCAATCCGCGGTTTTCTGGTGTTATTAGGGAGCTTAAGCATGTAGGACAGCAACACGACGACGACGGCAACCAATACAATGAGTCGATGAAAAGTGAATAAATAATTAAAGTCCCGGGGGAGTTTCAGACGTAGTCGTCGCTCTGTTTACAACGTCAAATCACAGATTTTTACGCCTTTTATACAACGCCTGCATTTCAAGCCGACGAAGCCGTAACAAGTCTTCCCAAACATAGAGCCAATGTTTTCAACTTCTTATACTGTATTAAATTCATACGAATTATAATATACGACAAGTTTTCTTTACTATAATTTATTTGAAGGAATTTGTTTTGGCCGTTGTCATCGTGTTGCCGTCCTGCATGCTTCAGCTCGCTATTGTCACTACCTATACACTGGCAGAGACCGTTCGAGTTTCTATCATAGACCTATCCAGTTTAAATTAATGTTTTATTCGTTTTTAATGCATCATTATTCACACTTAATTTATTTCTTGCAGCATATTTACAGATCGACATGTTTGGTCCAACACTTAGGGCTATTCGAAGCTACCAAACTGGAGAGTATATTTGTCATAACCCTACCACAGGTTATCCCGAAATGAAGGTAAGATCACTATCATTATTTTCTGATGTATAACTGAAGGCGCACGAGAAGACAGTGGCGGTCATTTCGCGAAACATATTACCAAATTTTGTTGTTGTAAATCTAAGTTATTATTTGCCTTTCATTAAATCAAGACTTGGCCATCTCGCTCGATAGAACTAACAGTTGAAGGGTGTTTGTAGATGGAGATTTCTAGCGGAAGGTTACGTACAATCAGGGACGCCAGAACGATAAAAAGGCAAGGCGGGCAAGCGCACACCAAAGGGCATCTCTATAGATTCCTGTGAAGATATAAACCTACAATTATGTGTTGACTTGCCAATATATGAAAGCAAACGCACTTAATCAGGTCACATTCAAGATCACACCTCATGATTTTGCCCAAAAAGCATCACTGGAAATGTGATTTATCAGATGGAATTTTATAACTCAAAGGGCACTTCTGCCCCCCTTGCCCCTCCTAGCAAAAGGCAAGAGGGGCAGCTGCCCCTCCTGCCCCCCAGTTCCGGCGTCCCTGCGTACAATTTTCATATCTAACCAGACCTGACCACGTACGATTTTCAGACCTAACCTATATCAATGTTTAATGTTTTTATTGTCATTACCAAGTGATTCAGCTATCATACGAATGATTCAGAAAATGTTGGAAGGGGTTGTTCCCCCTTGCCCTACTCTCCGCCGAAATCCACAAATTTAAATATATACTGTTCACAATCTACTACTAATATATGATTGGCTATACTGCAAGTCCCTCCCACGAATATAAGTCCCCCCTCAAATATGTCCCACCTCTTCGATACCCCCCTTCGATAACCCCCCTTCAAACATTCCTATTTTCCCTTAGGTGATCGTAACCGTGAGTAAGCATCCTGCTTGTATGTTTTATAAAACACCCAACAAGAAACCGTACACTTCGTACAGATCACGGCTAAACAAAAAGTGGTACCTCGCGTTTCACTTCAAGGGCAACAAAGCTGGTAGACCAAAAAAAGGTCAGCGAACTTCGGACTTTAAGAACAAAGGATGTATGTTTTTACTAGATGCTTTAAAACTTTCACGGAAGCGAAGGAAAGGTTGAAATGTGGAGGATCTCATCGTAGTTATTTAAATATAATTTATTTATTTAAGGAATAAAATAATTAAAATATTTATAATGGCATTAGTAATACATTAATGCCGGCAACTTCATGTAAGTATGCCTGTAAGGGAAAGAGATGGACGCAAGTGTATTTACGTTTTCTTTTCTTAGTTTTCACTTGAGTGAAAGCTGATAACGGAAAAACATAATACCATACAAAGGAGTGGAATTTAAGTTTCTTGTAGTACGTATATGTGTTTTAATATTCGATGAGAAAAATATCGGATTTAAGTGTGTTTCTTTTGAAATTAAAATATGCACTAATGACAAGAGTATTTCATCTTCCTTTCTATATAAGGTGATATAGTAGCTATATGCGATAGACTCTTGCAACTATTTATATACGTCATAAAAGGGAAATATGTGAGAATTTGTATCATATAGCGTCTATAAGAGATGGCTTGTTCAGCACTTAGAATATATGTTAACGACATAGATATCTTATATAATCTAGTTTATATAAGATATCTATGGTTGACGATCACTGGCTAATTTAAACACCACGTGATCATTGCAGCTGGGTTTGATGATGACCCTATCGGTTGATTGCAATCAATTTCTTGGGAATTAAAGGAGAATCAAATAGCGGCCATGTTAGTGTCAAATTCAATGAAAGATGAGATTCTTTTGTTGAAATACCAGCAACTGTGGCTGTCGTGACGTATCGTGGAATTTGTGACTGTATTAAGGCTGAATTCAATTTATTCTTGGTTTGCACTTGACGTCATTGCAGTCATGTTGGAGGAACGCCAACGAAAGAATCTCGCAACTATAATTGTACTTGGAGCGTGTTTTCCTCGAACATGGCCGCCATGTCTTCGTCATATAAATCTCAAAGGATTGATTGCAAACCAGCAAACACAACTAACCTTTAGCAAACAAATCGGCCGTTGTAAACGCGAACCATGCATCCATAGGACCTCAATGAGACTATAGGGATGGTTAGGGATAAACCAATGAATTACCTAAAACAGAAAGTAATGCTAACTATAGTATATAAGTAAACTTAAGAAGTAGTGTACGTATAGCAGTATACTGTATGCGAGTAATACAAGTATTTGATAATGGACACACTATTTTATACTCGGGTACAGTAATAAAATTTTCCATAAGGAGTAATTTGACAAACGTTTACTGTGTGAAACAATGGATTGTTGAGAATCTTAACATGATTGTATATTCCACGAAGGAAGTGTAAAAAAGCTTGACTCAAATAATACGTGTCAACGCTTGGACAGTAGTTTTTGTAAACATATATAAATAATAGATATATATTTGAAATATGTTGAAGTTGTATTTGAAATACGACTGGACGACACTTATAATACTTCAAAAGTATCTTTACTGCTGTTTGTGTATAAATAAACTTGAATAAAATAAAGTGTTGTTTTGTTTTGTTTTGTTTTGTTTTGTTTTGTTTTGTTTTGTTTTGTTTTGTTTCTTCGTGCATATAATGTTCCCTTATTTCATTATCTACTGTATTACAACATACCCTTCCACAAAATTTAAAGTACGTTGGTCATAGAGCCTCGCTTTCGTACATGTGACTTTAATTAAAGCCAAAGTCTCAGTCATGAAGAAAACGAGGCTCTACCTGCATTCTCGTCCCCAGAGCCATTTTCACTCGGTCACTTGTTGAAAATTAGGCTCTGGGTTAGACGACTAAAGGGAGAGATCTTATAAATTAGAAATTCTGGCAGGGTTCCCACAACAGCATAACGCCAATTTAACAAATTAACAGTTATACAACTAAACAAGTATGCATGCAAACCAACAAACTTACGTTCTATAACGCATTACAAAAAATTAATGTATTATTAACAGCAAGACGCTGGATATGCAAGACTACGCACAAAGTTACATTTAAGACATATAGTTTGACTTCTCAGAGAACAGCTATTGCGCAGAAGTTGAGCAATTTTAAATTTCGCAGGCAAAATGATTCTATCAACATATGTCAACACAAATACTTCTTTCTCGTCAGTACTTCACTGTGAAAATTGTTACGGTTGCTAAAACGTCCCAATTCAAGAGTACGTGCTTTAGAAACTACTGCAAGTTTTCTTGCACTTCCGGTTCCGTGTATCCCAGCAGGCCTAGAGAGGACGCGCGCGGCCAAGAGGCCCTGGGGACGAGGATGGGCTTTATAGCCACTTAGATGACGTACTTTCCGGGTCGCCTCTTTGGGTTCGCGACTAGCTCCATAAATACACGCAATCACAGAATAGAGACCATCCAGAATACCGACTCAGCCAAAAAAGCGTCGCCATATTCCTAGCCAGTGCGCTTACGAGAGGCATTCAGCCCCTGAACGTCCGCCATTTTGAATTAATATCAGGGGGTGAATGCTCTTAGAAACATGGCGACAGCATTGCAACCATAGGCGAGGCCAAGAAGGCGGTCTTCCGTCTCTATTCTGTGATTCAATATAGAGCAACAGTATCATGACCTTGGGGAATCCAATTGGGACGAGGCAATGTTTGTACCATTAATTGTATTTGCCCCACTTCGCAAGATGTCTTTCCCCTCAATCCAGGTGATCTGACGGTGAGCAAAAGGACTGGGACTAGCAACAGAATAGAAATCCAGTTTCGTACCTTTAATCACTTATCACGCCCCGATTCTTTTGTGAAACTGTTTGAAACTTTGTGTCTGTGTTTTGCACAGGGAAATGAATGTCTGTGACAAATTTGAAATAGAAATCTAATACCGTTGATGAAAACAGAAATGGATTTCTATTTTACAACTAGTGCCAGGCCTTTTCCGAGATCACCTGGATATTATTGTTTGTTTGCATTCCTTAAAGATGATGTCCACTCCTGTGCCCATGCGCGAACTTTGTTTACGTTTTGAACTGCTATATTTGTAAAATGTGATATACTAACTGAATATCTAACACTTTTCTGGTTCGCTTTACTTGGAAATGAATATAAACTGTACGTTTCAATTCCAAAACGTTCGAAAGATGCAAAATTTGGGCAATGTTTATATCTGGGGGTCCCCCAGAACGGAGTGGCCGCGACATATTTAACCAGTTACACCATCTAGGGTAATTTATTATATATATATATATATATATATATATATATATATATATATATATATATATATATATATTTCATTTTTTCGACTTTGATCATTTATAAGCCATTTAACCATTTAAGGCCTGTTTTATACGTCGAATTTTGGTCGCGTCGAATGCAATTAGCCATTTCCCAATCGAGTAGAGGACTGGGTCTAGTCGCTTGTTTGGAGGGACAAAAAATAAACAAAATGCCGAATACGGCATCTAGGAAGTTTTCCTACATTCCTAAAGTTATTTGTGTAGCCTGAAACGCAACAATTATACTAAGGCATCTGACTAGACTGAGTTTACTATATATTTAGCTCGCTCACAATAACTTGTTTTCCCTCGTCCCTCCAAACATCAACTAGACCCAGTCCTCTGCTCCATTGGGAAATGGCTAATTAAGACAATAGATAATGAGATGACAAACCTAGCTCATTAGGCTTCATTATCTATTATTTGAATTGCATTCGACGTGACGGAAATTCGACGTATAAAGCCTAAGGCCTGTTTTATACGCAATTTAAACTGATAGATAATGAGATGATAAACCTCAATAAGCTTCATTATCTATTGTTTAAATTGCATTCGACGCGACCAAAATTCGACGTATAAAGGCCCACACAGACCGGACGCGATTCGGCAATACGACGCGAATTTTCAGTTTTCAAAAACAAATAAAACCGTCAATGGATAAAAATTTTACAAGATATGCAGACCAAATAGCTAAAATTGCTTAAGTGGTAACGAATATTTGAAAATCATTGAAAAATATTAAAGTTAAATGCCATTGAAAACTGAAAATTCGCGTCGCCGTCTGTTTGGGCCTTAAAGCCCGTTTTCCTCTCACGTATTTCGCCGCCGCTCGGGCGAAAAATTTCGCCACCGAAAAAGTTCATTTGTTGTTCTTTCGCGCCGTCAACGAAAGATGAAACAGAAGTCGAAAATTTTAAGCAACTGTAGCAGGAGAACAAATTTCTTCAGCGGCGAATGAATGTAAAAAATGCGGATTTCTTTGTCAAAATTTTTCGCCAGCGGCGGCGAAACTGGAACGGAGTGGAAAATGGACATAAAACAGGCCTAATTAGCCTCTGGCTTTGGCCTCACTATGTAAATTATTTGTGTGTTGAAATCACTTATTGTTAAAACTGAATGCCTTACCAAAAAGCTGAACGTAATCATGCGTACAACAGTGACAAGGTGCATGTATTAAAATTTAGTTAAGAACATCTCCTTGTAAAGTGCGCGATTCTTTGCTCTTGGGAATTTAAAGCAGCTTCTTAAATAGTTTCTTTATGCATACAATTTACTTATGTCAATCATTTATGCACTCGTGGGAACCAACAGAGTGCTAAAGCATTCAAATTCTAACAATTAAATTGTTGTTGGTGATTTAAATAGTATTCGTTTTTTTGGGACACCCTGTATGTCTATGTGCCCATCCTCTTGTGTTTCTATAGATGTCTGAGGAAGCTAACAAAAGAATATCCGGCCATTTCATCGCGCTCGCTTGCGATGTATAAAGAAAGCCTACAGCAGCTATTGACTATTGGTGCAAGGGTGGGTTGACTACTTCACTGAAAAATATGTAGTCAGCTACAACTACTGCTACTTTTGAACAAAGGTAGTTCGCTACTGACTACAGCTACTGCTTAAAAAATGTAGCGAACTATTTCGCTATTTCGCTACGCCATATTTTTTACTTTTACTGTATTTGGAGCATCTACTAACTCAGGTTGTAATGCAACCTATAACAAATCGACTTACGAGTAGCAACAGTAAACACAAAGCAACATTTTTGTAAGTACCACAGTGTTCAGGAGTGTAAATTGTCTATTGAGTATTGATTTTAAGCAAACCGTGTCTCAATATTATATTATTCTATCAAGTTGCTAACAATTTTAAAAAGTAGCGAATAGCGATTCGCTGTTTGAAAAGTAGTCAACTAGGCAAACTACTTTTAGGCAAAATGTAATTCGCTATAACTACAGCTACTGGTTTAAAAAAGTAGTCAAAAACTACGGGCTACTTCTACAACTACTTCGCTACTACCCACCCTTGCTAATTGCTATATTGTGTTGGGAGCGTGTTTCCTCCAGCATGGGGGCATCTTATTAATTTCAAGTGATTGCCATTGCAAACCATCAACACATGCAGTGGCATAACGGAAGCCCCCTGTTCGAGGGCCCCTGTTGACCGTTGTCAATTGTAGTTTGACTGATATATTATATTTATATCGAATATTTATAGAATGTTCTGGGAAATTCCGTGTCTATAACAACAACACATGTAACATCTAATAAGAATAACTTTTGTTTTTATTTGAGATGGAATAAAAAAAAACAGCTACTGTTCTCGATTGAGAGGCTTTATTATTTAGCACTATTAATTTTGCATTTTCCCATTCATTTTTAACCTGCATTTTTTACGTTTTGTAATTTTCTGGGCGATAGGCCGTGGGTGATGGGGCCCTAACTGTCGGGGCCCCTTGTTTTTGAATTAACCCTCTCCAATGAGCGTTACGCCACTGGTTCAACGATAGTTAAAATAATGAACACCCCAACAACTTTCCCTCGCTACCATGAATATTTAATGTGCCCGCATCTTGTGGTTATTTAAGAGTATAATATTATTCAAATTTAATGCAATATTTTGTTTGACGACTGGTGAATGATATAACACAGACAAAGAATTGGCGCCATTATTAAAAGTTCGACCATTCTTGAACATTGCCGGCATTGTCAATTTGTGATGTGAGCAGATTACTACAAGTTTTGGCTTTTAATACCTGCTAATATTTCGGGTAAGTGTTGTTTCTGGAGTTCTAGCACTGTAAGGACATTTCTTTACTTTATTTACCAATCACTCAAGTTATACAATTATTATATATCTATGATTATGACATGTTTACGATTATGGCTTTGAAAGGATCTTTATTTGATAGATCCGGAGGAAGAGCGAGAATAAACTTGGTAAATAATTTTTTGTCGCTTTCTTTTTAACTTATTTGAGTGCTGCATTTTTTACATCATGGTTTCAACGCGACTCGTGAAATTCGAAAGTCGTGATTCACGGAGTCGTGGTTTAGCCATTAGTAAGACCTTCACGATATTCGTACGACTCGATATATTTCGTGAAACTTCACGACTGGTCGCATTCAACAACTCATGAAAATCAAAAGTCGTGATTGACGACTTGTACTTTAGGCATTAGTTAAGACCACGAAATTCGTACGACTTGTTAAACTACGGAAATTTCACGCCGCAAGTTACATTATAAATTATGAATCTTCATCTCAAATATGTATGTTTATTCATCCTCTCAGTCAAGACAAAAGTAACTCATCAGTTGTACGAGT